TGTAGCTCTTTTGTTTTTTATATTTTTTGTTATTTTTAAATTTTTTTTATTTTTTTATAATTTTTAAATATTGGTTTTAAAAAATAATAAAAATTATTTTATTTCAAAAACTATTTTTCTGTATTTTTATACTTATTTGTTACTTTTAGAGTGATTGTTATCACGCTCTGTGCGCAATCGAAACTCTAATAGTGTTGTGCGCTGATTTTATATAATTTTGAGAGAAAGTAGGTCGATTATAAATAAAAACGTACTGAGATGCAAATTACTATGCAGTTAAAATGTATAAAATATTAATAAATGTTTATTAGTTAAATAAGGTAAAAACTATACGAACACGTATGCAAATATATTTTTAGAGCACAACATAAACGTCGACATAAATGCATAAATATAATATAATATAACCTTTAAGGAAACACTGAATGCCGATTTATATGTAGCTCCTATAGGAGCCATCCCAGCCCTCTAAAGGTTAATGAGCAAAGAAGACAGTTTCTGTTGTCACAATTTTTATTACTATTTTCGTGTCGGTGTTGGAAATATCGCGTGATGCCGAGCACGGCACCAGAGTGCCATCGCGTGTACCAGAGTGTGCGTTAAATTCCATTGAGAGTTTCGGCGAATCTCGCCGGCTTCATTGGCGAACGACGATGCGGCGCTAGCGGTGGGATAATTTTTTTCCAATTGTTTTGCTAACGTCGCGTGTATTTACGCGACCAAGTTATTACGCTTCGAGCCGCGACGCGATGCGGAGCAGCGCCCGATGTATCGGTATTTCCTTACAATTTCCGTCGGGCGGTCGAGACGTTTTGTCGTTAACTTCCGGAACATTTGGTCGCGCTCTCGCGTCGAGTTAATTAATCGCGCCAATTAGCATACGTTTCTCCAGCGCTGTGGTCACGCGCGAATAATTGCAGCGTTTCGATTATTTCGACTCGTGATTCAGAATAAAAAAGAGTAAACTTTGAGAGAGATTGAAAGTGAAAAGTGATCGACGTAGGACGACCGCAGGATACTGAGAATGCTGGGCAGATGTGAAGCGATGCAGTCGAGGTGACCTGCAGGAAATCAACGAAATGATGATCTGAATGAACGTTTTGTACGTTTGTCAAGCGTTACTTTATGTAGTGCTTAGACGTAGGTTGCATTGACTTCCGACGAGAAAATGCACGGGGTTTTGTCCAAAAAGTTCGACGCGATCTTTGAATTCAATTTCGCTCGATACACACGCGATTGAAACAAATTACTCATCAATCAAGTAATCGCTGCTGTCGCCTGTGATCTACAATAGTTGACAGTACTTGTATTTCTATGAAGGATAATCGATTTATTGTAAAAAGTCGTTAAACATCAAGCTGAGCTTTCTGATCAACTCAGTGCATCAATGATGCGTGCTTTACTAACCCCGGGTTAGTACGATTTAAAGAGCGAGTAGCAACGATTAACGCACTCGAGTAATCAAGAAATCAAACGACGACGATGCTTTGAATATGAATATCTTTTGTTATGATTACTTAATATTCGAATATGAATTTTTGTTGTTGTAATTACTTAATAATTAATAATTTTGTTATAATTACCTAATAATCGAATATGAATTTTTTTGTTATAATTAATTAATAATGCGACTTGAAAAGCGACGATTATCACGTGTTCGAGCAATTAAGAAACCAAACGACGACGATGCTTCGAATAGGAATTTTTTTGTTATGATTACTTAGTAATCGAACATGAATTTTTTTGTTATAATTACTTAATAATGCTACTCGAAAAGCGAGTAGCGCGCGATTATCACGTGCTCGAGCAATTAAGAAACCAAATGACAACGATGCTTCGAATATGAATTTTTTTTTATTATGATTACTTAATAATCGAGTATGAATTTTTTCGTTCTAATTACTTAATAATTAATGATTTTTTATAATTGCTTAATAATCGAATATGAATTTTTTTGTTATAATTATTTAATAGTGCGACCTGAAAAGCGAGTAGCGGCAATTATCGCGCATTCCAGCAATTAAGAAATCAAACGACGACGATGCTTCGAATATGAATTTTTTTTTGTTATGATTACTCAATAATTGATTGTGAATTTTTTTGTTAGAATTATTTAATTAATAGTGCGACGTAAAAAGCGAGTAACGGCGAATATCTTGCTCGCGCTCGTGGAGATTGAAAGTCATCAGATGATTGTGCTAAATGAGAACGTTTTTATTGCTACTCAATATTATGTAAATGCACACAAGGCGCGAGTAACAGTTAGCGAGATAAAATGGCAACAGTAGATAAAAGCGTATGTACAATAACATTTAGTTTCGCTTGATACATTCCCTCGGCTTCTCCTTCCATGAGCGATAATAGAAATAATTGGTCATAATCATCGCACTCGCGACAATCATTTGCATAGTTGGCGCCATAATATCGCCTCATGCCGTGTATCATTAGCACCTACGATGCGCCCGTGGGAGCTTGAATCTAGAATTACGCGATTACGCTGTTGCGCAAATGAGGGTCCCTATTAATTAAGTATCGACCGGCCGCGTTTCCTCCGGACTCTCAGCATCTACTTTAATCCGCGACGTGACATTCGGAACGTTCGGCGCGCCTCACACAAAATATCTGTAACATCGCGGTGAGACAGTCAGGCTATTCCCTGCACTGTTACGGCATCAATAATCTTCATCGATTACCGCGCGAGAGAGAGCTGGTCGACGGTGCACGCCGAGCGTTATCAGTACGATCGATTTATATGACGCGCGGGGCGTGAGCGAAGAGTAAAAGTCCCAACAAAGTGTGTCAATATTAAAACCGACAGCACTTGCAGTCACCGCTTACGCACGTACGTGGCCTTCGCATGCGATACGATTCTCCACTTCCTCTCGAGGGCGCGCGGCTACTGCGGCGGTAATAACGGCCCCGCGATGTCAGCGGGACGGAAATCGGAGCGGGTCGAGAATTCTCAAGCAAGAGGAAAACGGCGCAGGGACGAGCCCGCTGAATAAATCGCGATAATCGTCGAGCGCCGATAACGCACTCCGTGAATACTGCTTGTTGTTGCGTTCTAGTCGTCTATCGCCTAGTCGTGGCGCGTATCTCGTCTCTTCCTATCGCACTCCTGCGCCGGATATCGCTTGTAATTCTGCTCCTTGAGTGTTCGCGCCCTTGACTGTTCGCAATACCGCATGTTCTGTATGGCGATTATACGTGTGTGTCTTTTGCTCCAGCGTAAACTGAGTGAACAAATTTTCATCTCCTACAAGTCCCCCCGCTGGAGGAGAGAATTCACGATCGCGAGTCTTTGCACCGAAATATCGCGATTGACTCTGCCTTCGTGACAAGTTGTTGCATTTTCGTGGATGGGAATGTGAACGTCGCTGCTGAAAGATACACTTGTATCTTCATGGCGTGTTATTCAGAGGCAGCGTGTAAAACCATAATAATTTTATTTTAGTCCTGCCTTATAAGTTAAGCCTTTGATAATCTATTCTATCCATTAATTAACGATGAATTAACTAATTATGTTATTCAGAGACATTCTCCCAGAATGCTTTAAATTTGGTATCCGCACTAAGAATATTCGGATCCTTCGGGCGATACTCGCAGCAGGATCTTTTATTTAATTGCTTATTTTCAGGTACTTCATAGCCAATGAAATGCAATCACCGGCGAATTGTCAACAAACCGCAACTCTTGAGGTTTGTGTTTATAATTGTGAAACCTTTTTTTCTTAATTCAGTGACAGTAAAATTACTTTTAATAGATACCATAGATTCAATAAATTCAATAGATAAATAAATTCAATAGATTTCAATAGATTTAATAAAATAAAACAAAGCAGAAGAATCATTTAGACCGCAGAGGAGAAAAGCTTCCTGACGGATTTGATATTAAGAAGAAAGAACATTATCGAGAGAAGATGTACGGACACGAACACGAGTAAGGCCAAGTGAGAATGTTACAAGGGAATTCTTGATGATATATCAACGGATATATCAGGGCGTATACGCCCCGCAGTTAAAAGGTTAAATCAACCTTAGACTACTACCCCTCCGGGTAGTTTAAGCTGTGTTTAATACAAGACCAAATCATAAGAGAGTGTCTCTGAATACAAATGTCGTTAGTCTCTTCTTACGCTATTGTTGGATTACGTCTAAGCTAAAGTCGTTTTGTCTCTGAATAGCACCCATCGAGTATAATCTGATATTCACAAGACTTACACTAAACTCAGATAAAAATACGAGTCGTGCGTTTGCACTCGCGCCTATGTAAATCGACGACGTAACAGTGGAAGGAACCGGCACGGCCGTTGTAATTCATTATAATCCATTCATATTTTACTACCTCTACGACCGATATTCCGCTTTATGGTATTCGCGATAAAAGTATCATGCTGCAGATATGACTGCTAGTTACATGCTTTACGCTCACACACACATATACATATATATATATACATATATACACATATATATATATACATACATCAGTTCTAACTATTAACTTTAGATACAGTTTGTCGACCGTCCGCGTGAAACGTCCGAATAGTTGTCTGCTGCAAATCTCGACGACTGATCCCCGTTGGTCGGCGAATGAAACGGCAATGACTCTTAGTCTTCCGCGTACGCGAATCGCGAAGACCGAGCCGCCTCTCGGCTGGTCATCATCGGTGTGAGGGATCGATGAGAACGGAAAGTTGAAGTCCTCTAATTCGTTCGCACGAGATCTTCTGCTCCGCGTCTTTGTGTCGAGTTTGCATTGTTACGTCGAGGTGTGAGAGGATATGATCGGTTCGGTGCTATCACGTGGTCATCTCCAAGTATCGCTTGGTCTCTATAGAGCCGTAGCTGTGCGAGTACCGGCCGCTGTACGATGCCCTAGACCATGCTCCGGCCCTGTTCGAGTAGCTGTTGCACGCGAACAGGGAATTCATGCCGTTGGGTTTGTCGATCGGCACACCTTGGCCCCGTCCGCCGTGACGCGAACTGCCGCTCCTCGAGCGGCTGCTGTCCGTCAACAGTGTCCTGGGATCATCGTCGGTGCCAACTTCGGTATATGGCTTGGGTTTACGAGAGCAGCTCAAGTAGAGCCCAGCTATCACGGCCTGTGAATCGTGCGACTTGTTATTTTTACCTCGCTGCCGCCGTTCGACGTCTCGCGAACGTCTCCGATCGGTTTCGATCGTGCCGATATTTCATCGTTCTTTTGTTTTGTTTCTTCTTTTTCTTTTACGATGGGATTATGTCAGCTTGGGGCTAATAGGAACGTCGGCAATCGGGTGGGTTGAGAACTCGAGGTAGAGATCGGGTACTCGTGTTGGATTCGTATTACGAAGCTTCCTGCGCGATGTAGTTCAGAGAGAGTTTCTAATTTTATATTTAAGGGGTTAGGCCACCTTGGACGGATTAAAATCACTGTCATTTCCGGAATTTATTCTGAGGACATAACAAAAGAAATACAAAAATGGAAATAAGGTATTTATTAAGTAACTCTTTAAGGGAAAAAAAGTATTTTTTTTGTAAATATTTTTAACAAGATGGCGACTTTGAAGCCAAGACACCGGGAATCCTTTTTGACCGACGTTCTCAACGGTGTTCAGTCTCACGGCTACAGCATTGGACGTAAAACAAAAACGAAAAAAATTTTATTATCTAGATGCCAGAAACTGAAGAAATACATATGGATATTTAGAAATATTTATTTTTGTGGAAATGGTAAACACTTGAAAAAAAAATTTCATGTTTTGACCTAAAAATTTCGTGCAAAAGTGTTAATTGTAAAAAAGTTTTTAATATTTCGCAAAATTTATATGTACTTCTTCAGTTTCTAGCATCTAGATGATACAAATTTTTTCGTTTTTGTTTTACGTCCGCCGTAATGCTGTAGCTATGAGATTAAATACCTCTGAGAGCGTCGGTCAAAAAGTGTCTTCAACGCCGCCATTTTGTTTAAAATATTTACAAAAAAATACTTTCTTCCCTTAAAGAGTTGTTCGATAAATATCTTATTTTTATTTTTGTATTTCTTTTGTTATGTCCTTAGAAAAAATTCCCGGACATGACAGTGATTTTGACCCGTCCAAGGTGGCCTAACCCTTTAGGAAATATTCAAATGATATATTAGGAATGTGATTTAGTTTTGAGATTTTTTCCTTAGAAACTGATTTCCTTAAACAAGATAGTAAACGAATATCCTAAACAAATATTTTCCTTCATTTTCTACAGCTTTTTCCCATCTTTCTGGCAAGAGATGGATTCCGAAGAAAAGATTCTTCTGTGGAGTTGATCCAATTTTCAACAAATTTGCGCACTTGTTCGAAGTTATGAAAATATGTATCCTCTAAAACATATTGCATCGACCAGAACAAGTGAATATCGGATGGAGCAATGGCTGCGTTCAGCAGAACAAAATGATCAGTGAGCGCTTAGTGATTATTGTCTGTGACTGGAGCATTCTTTTAGATTCTTCATAGACCCAGAAGTATTTGCCAATCAGGAGCGAGAATCCCTAAGCGCTCACTGATTATTTTGTTCTTCTGAATGCAGCCAATGTCTCGTGGATACGCGGTGTGTGCTAAGACTTCCCATTCCAGCTCTAATAGCGTTTGCTTCACTGATAATACAACATGAGGTCGAGCATTGTCGTGAAGAAGAATCACTTTGCGTCGTTTAGTCGCAATTGGTGGTCCAATGCTTGCTTCAATTTGTATAAGGTAAACGTACTGAATTACGTCACTGACCCGTATTGCGCCACCTTAGCTTATTCTATGCGTGTAATAAAAGCGCACAGCTGAATAAAAGTTGTCTAAAAATTACCGGAAAGAGGTTGTGATAGTGTGTCAAATGGCTCCGCTAAAGTAAGTATACGAAAATGTAATTTTCCGTGAAAACCAATTTCAAAAGCCTATATCAAAGATCTGTCACTTTTGATTATTTTCGACTGAATTTGCTTCTAAATGATTACTAACTTACGAAGTGACATTGTGCCTCATAATATGATAAAATGAGATATTTGTGGATAGTAATATAAAGTGTTTTAGTTTTGTACGATTAAAATATAATAAAAGATGATAAAAAGGTATATTATAAAGTTATATGGTTTTTATATATAATATAATATAATATAATATAGAGAGTGGCGTCATTTGGTACATAATCAGTGGCGTAAATTGAGACTTACAATTTCAGTGGGCGTAATTTGCAATTTACACTTAATTCTTTTATGTAAATAATAGAATTAAATAATATAATTTATATAAATAAATAATCTTGTTTATTTATTTCTAATTTGTATGTGTGTTTTCGATAATTTACGATAATAACTTTTAAGATTCATAATCTTACCTAACACCACTCTTTTAAAATAAACTCTCAGAAATTATCTTTGTTTAACGTCGGTTGTTAATTCGGTACGTTTACCTTAAGTACTGTCGATAATCATCAGCAGTGACAGTTTCATACAGATTTAACAGTTCATAATACACAACACCTTCTTGATCCCACCAAATACATCTTACAGTGATAAGTATGAACTGTGAGTATTGCGCCTCGAAGTGGATGTTGCTGGTTGGCCTAGATCAACTCGTAACTTTTTTCGTTTGAAATTATCGAAATAGAAAAATAGATTTTTCATCCTCAGTAATCCGATACAATCCGATACAAAAAACTCTTCATTCTTTATCTGGCGATCAACGAAATGCAAATTCGGTTCATTCGGTTCGCAATGGCATTTTCTAATAATTGATGTGGAACTCATTTTCCTCCTTTATATATCTTTCCCATATCATGTAAACGTTTAGCAACTGTTGTACGATGAACATTTAATATTCTGGCAATTCTGAAGTGGATTGTGTTAAATTTTCGTCTAATAATGCTTGCAAATTTGCATTTTCAAGCCGTTTTGATTGTTCCGAGCGATCTTTGTCGTTAACATTGAAACCATCACTTTTAAATCGTCTAAACCAATTTTTATGTCTTAACACGTTCGCGACAATCAATAAATCCATTGGTTCACTCTAAAGGACGCACAATTTATTTTTTAATATATTGCTTCTTTGCGTTTGTTTTATAACAAATTTGCTATAATTGTCTGATCGACAAACCATGTTGCTAGTACACAGATACGTTTCTCATGTAGCCGTAGTTATGATATATAGAGCCCCCGATACACACAGAGACTTTCAGAAGCAGTGCAATGTTTCATAGTGTGTGACCCACCGGTGGACACGCACGTCTATTAATATAAACCAGTGTGACCCACCAGTGGGTCACGAAGTCGCGAACGTGTTAATTGATGGATTAACATCACCCTAAGTTTCTATTAAAATTCTATGACTTTCAGCCGCCGTTTTCTCCCGATTAAAAAACAACTCGCGTCGAAAATGCTCCATTTTTAAGATGGTGTCAACACGATTTTTACTGCGTCTATTGTTAGTAAATGACTGAATATCATGGATTAATACTACAGGATCAAGAAACAATAGCAACTGATTGGAATGTCTTCGACAAAACTGACATTAATGTCATCTCTTGCAAAACCCTCAAAACTAAATCACACTCCTAATATTTCATCGCACGCGAAAGGTGAGACGACGTTCGTGACGAGAATCGAAATGGTATCCAGGATATGCGATGTAGTTTCGCAACGCGAGCGTCAAGTGAACGATACATACCACTAGCATGTGAAGCAAGATGATGAACATGGAACCGTTTCTGAAACCGATGTTGTCCAATAGAATTCCAGCGACGCTAGGGCCGATGAAGGCGCCCAAGGCGAAAGTACTCGTCCATAATCCACTAACTAGGCCGTAAGTCTCGATATTGTTCGGGAGTCCATAGGAGCTTGACAAGAGAAATCGATAAGAGAATATTTTTCTAAAAATTCCATTCACGAGAGATGCATCTCGGGAACATATGTATCTTTCTCAACGAATCACGCGCATGACGAAAATCGTCTAGAGGACGCTACAGTCACTCCGACTTGCGCGACTTACACGGATGTCCTTAAGGCGTCGGTGAAACTGGCAACCAGTTGTGCTGCCATGCCTAAGCCGTGTATCACAAGGCCGCAAATGGTTACCCATATTGTAGTGGGCAACGGGATGAACGGTGCTGGGCCGATCAAAGAGAATCCGATCATCACCAAGATACAACCAGCGACAGTTGCCACCTGAAAGATACTGTATTCTTTTAGAAACGACGCACACATGCACTCTAAGCGAATTAAATGTCCCGGGGCCGACGGACGAGCGAGACATTCGCATTCAATAGCGTCCGGATTGATTTTCGCACCTTGGGGTGTGAGTGTTTGTCGCAAAGCCAACCCCAGACTGGCGCGGCCAATGCGTACGTGCCACCGTTGATGACGAACATTAGGCCCAGTACTACTGGGCTCAGGTTGAATTGCCTCAAGTGCGGTTCCAAGGTCGCTTGTAGGAATCCGATGCTCACGCTCGTCGCGATTATCGACATGGACGCAATCAGCACGCCGGGAATCTTGAGGAGTTTTCTCACCCCTGCGAATATCGTGCGAAAGGCGATTAGAACGTAGGTTGGGTCGCATGCTGAACACATCCGCTCGAGAATCGTACCTCCGGTGTTGCGGTCATCTTGTTCATGGTCGTTGTGAACTGGTAGGACGAACGCGGTCATGACAGCTGCCAAGAACAATGCCGATCCGAGCACCACGAACGGGGTCGTGTATCCACCGACCTAGCGTGTCCATATTCCGCATGGGCGAAAGCACATTTATAAAGGACAAAAATGGACGGATGATAGGACTTGGATATTGACAGTTATAGTTGACGTCACAGTTCAAATTAACGTTAGGGAGATTAACATGTTGCGGAGACTGCAGTCTCTTTAATGTCTTTAATGTTTGGAATTTTAAAAGTTGCTTCGTTTTTGGGGGATGAAACGTGATATGTCTGTAAGTTTTGCTTGGTAAACCTTTTCATCAGGGGTAATATGTGAATGAACTAATCGTTCTGTAAAAATATTACTCACATGTTCGTAAATTGTTTGAATATTGAGCAAAATACTGCAATTATATGTCCGATCGTGAGTGCATGTTAATATTAATTGGATGTTAGGATTATTGATATCGCGAGTCGATAATTAATGTTGCGCGTGATTAAACGGGTCGTTCAACGTATCACGTTCGTCTGAGGTAAAAGGCCTGTTTCGAAATATGTTTCGGAAACTTTGGTTTTAGTTATAAGATTGGTAGACCTTAAACTAATTTAGACACGTTCAGTAATTGATCAGCTGATCACGCTTGGACGTTCACAATTATGTATTATTTCGTTTACAAATTTGGTTTCAGCTATTAATTTAGATAGAGAATTCGATAAATTTTCTACTACCTATTATCTTGATAATTAATCAGCTGATTAATTACAGAACGTATTCACATTTAATTCTTTGAATGTTGTGGACGCATATATGCCTTTGTCCATTTTTTCGATCTCACACGTACTGCACTGACAATTATTAGTGTATGAAATGAATATATATACGTTCGTTAACAACAACAGTAAACAAAAAAAAGAAATTCCATTTATATAAGCTATTGTTCTGTCTATTTCATTTAACATATAGGTATTTCGTATAAAATGTTCGGATCAAATGAGCAGTGCACGATTAGCAAGAAGAAAATGCATTTGTAAAAACAAAAAAAGAAGCGACATGCGATATAAATGCAGAAAATGCGATGTTGATTTGTGTATTGATAATTGCTTTTGTGAGACCCGTCGCACTCAAATTAATTATTAATTTTAGTGAATTTGAAATAGGTAGTTTCAATTTTTTACAAAATAATTAAACAATTTTAATTATATCAATATACAGGATGTCCGGGATCTTTTGGAAATGAAAAATTGTGAAGATTAATTAGATCAAACTGAGAAGAAAAGTCAAGTACCATTTTGCAAAAATCGTAATAGTTATTAAGTTATTAATGATTGAAAATGACAATTTCTAGAAGCTCTTTTAATTGATAACTTGAAAATTTGTGTTTTAATTTTTGTTTTGTTTAATTTGTGTTTTAAATTTATTTGCAAAAGATAAGGGACTGTTTTGTTCAGAATGACTTGATCTACAATTATATGACGGTTATTGTGTCTAGCGATAGATATGAATATTGAACTTTGAACCCTAAATCTTGAACTTGTTGCTAAACACAATAGTCGTCATATAATTGTAGATTAGGTTATTCCGAATAAAAAAGTCTTTTTGCAATCATTTAATTGATAACTTTAATTGAAAATTTGCATACTCATGTACGCAAATTTTCAATTAAAGTTATCAATTAAAGGAGCCTCTAGATGTGGTCATTTTCAATCGTTAATAACTTAATAACTATTGCGATTTTTGCAAAATGATATTTGACTTTCCTCCTCAGTTTAATCTGATTAATCTTCACAATTTTTTATTTCTAAAAAATCCTGGACAGTATATAAAAGTTTTTTTTGCTAAATGAATCTGCTGTAGATATAAAGTATTTATGTGATTTAAAAATGAATATTTTGTTGTTTAAAATATAAGTTTAGAGTTTTCCATATTTTTTGTTATATTTATCAGGTTTAAATATTCAGATTCACTAATATTTTTAAATTGAGGCATGTTTAAAATTTTAATGATTTTAATAAGATAATTTATGCTCGAAAATTATTTTCTTGCATTATTTAATTTGTCGTAACTGAAGAATTACAATTATTACTTGGTTGCGCCTTATACAATCAATCAACAGAGTTTACACTATGCAGAAAAATATTTCGTCCTTAGCAATCGCAATTGCGAGTCGCGTACCATTCTCACGTTTCGGAGCGTTTCGGCTGGGAATACTCAGCATTCAAAAGTTTAAGGCCTACTAACTAAAACTTACAGCTAAAACCAAAGTTTCCAAAACTAATTTCGAAACAGGCTTAAAGTTCGATGTTCGAAGTTTAAAGATCGAGGAGTGTCTCTGTCGGTACAATGTGCGTGCATTGAATGGTACCTGATAGAGTGCACCACCTACGGTGGGACCCACGATGAGACCCAGGCCGAAAAAGGTCTCCAAACTGGCGAATGTTGTAGCGACATTGTCGGGAAATTCCATGGCGATGATGGCGAAGCTGGCCGTCAAGAACGCGCCGTTTCCCATCGCTTCTATAATCCTGATCACGAAGGACAGAATTATAAAAGGATAGTGGCCGTTGACTTTGTCCAACAGACCGAAAAATATGGCGCATGTCGCGGTGGTCAAGATGCCGCCGTTGAACAATATCTTTGGTCCGATTCGATTGAGCTGCGGATACAACACACGCGATTCATTATTAAGTTTTCAAACTCGGATTGAAAAAGGAGAGAAAAATTTCGCACGCGATGCGATTTTCAAAATAGAACCGACGCTTTTTCAACGTTTTTTCGAGAAGTACATTTCGTAGAATGCTCCGATAAACAATTTTCGTCGAATGTACTCGCGCGTATTATCTTTATTTATGCGAAAACATGATTGTGTTTTATCGAAATCCGTAATAATCAGTGAGCCTGAAGAACTGCAGACGTCGACGCTCCGCTCTGAGACTTGAAATCATTGCGTAGGCGGTCTCGGCGGGATTCACGTGCTTAAATATATTTATCATTACTTTCTCATACATATTTTCACAGAAAATTATCTCTGCGATGATAGTTATAACATTTGTGACGAATATTTCCGCGCTTAAGATTACTACTATTTATTACGCGAAAAGGGAACAGCTCCCGGTGCCGAGAATACTCGCGGGAGAAATAATCCACAATCTACGGACAAATTCATGCCGACCCAGTCGGACGAATATCGCTTCGATATTACGTTTTCCTCGTTTACGTTACGTTCGTTGCTGTTATTAATCGTGCCGAGATTCAGCATCGTGCGCGTTCGCGCTCGCATGAATTACGTTACGTATCACCCACGTGTTGTCCGTAGAGCGGGCTCATGATGAAGACCACCAACTCAAAGATACCGAAGACCAAGCCATATTCCGACGGCGACGCGCCCTTTTTCTCCGCCTGCGAAAACAAAGAAACAGAGAATAGTCATCGATGAGAAATGTAATGCGCGCGTCGCGTCGATTCGCGACTCGCGACGACGACGACAGCGGCGAGTCGCTCGAGCTCGCTCGAGGATCAGTAGGCGCGTCGTGCTACGCAGCAACTCGGTCCATTATCTCGCCGCATTGCAATTAATTCTCGTCGAGATAATATCCCGATAAACTTTGGACGCTCTCCACGCGCGAGATTACAGGCCAAATTATCGAACGTCGCGATGCTGCGTTCGGCTACGTCGTGGATACATAGAAAACACCCTCGGAGATATGTCGAGCGATAAGGAAAACTACGACACACTGTGAGCCTCCGTCGCAGTCATCCTCCGAAGGCTCCAGCTGGAAAATCGATTGTCCAGTCGGCCGCAATTGTGTACCCAGAAAAAAAGTATGCTATTTATAGAGTGATCTTTCCCATAGTCTCATATTCCAAGCGAAGCCTTTTACAGAAAAAGGATTCCTCTTCCGATGAAGCGATTAAAGTGAACCATTCATCTAAAATTTATTAGATACTATTCTAACTATTTTCCTCTTATTTCAAGAGGATTTCCTCTTGTATTAATTAATTTTGCTCTTATATGAAGAGGAATATCTTGATTTGAATGTCCGCTTGTTTTGTTTAGTCATGCTCTGCCTTCAGACATGAACGACAAAATAACCATATCAGGTCAGGGTCAGAATATTTAGAACGCTTTTTGTCACGCAATTAAGTGAGTGGTCGATTTCTCACAAAAATTATAATTCTATACGTTTTTAGGGTCGCTGAGTTCGAATCTGTCATCAGAATTTCGAAAAAATACGATCCAAAATGGAAGACGCAATATGGCGGCTTGAAAGGATATTTAGTTGACAAATCCGTACAAAAGCTATTATTCTTTGTATTTGATTGAATCCCTAGGTCAATTTTAATAGCAAATTAGTGTTTAGTGCATCTAAATTTATGCAGAAACACGTGTCGCTTTCTTTGCAAAGAAAAATCACCATTTGTCGGAACAATAATAAATAAATTATTTATAGTAAAATATTCGACAAATTTTTGAACCATCTGCACATATGTAACGAATTCAAGACTATGAATGTAAAAAGAAAAACGTTGAAGATTATCGAATTCTAATGCTATTCCACAATTTTTGTGTTTTTCTTCAATATTTTGTTTATACCATGAAAAATACTAATATAACAAAAATTCATCAACGGATTCGTAATCAGCGACTTAAAATGATAAATATAATATAGAAAACTTGCTCCTTTGTAGAAAAACAATACTTAGAATATCAACTTTTCAGCACAATTCTACAAATTTTCGAAATTTAGCTTCAATATTTTGTTTATAACAAAAAAAATACTTTGTTGTACTCAAACCTGATAGCGAATTAATAATCAGCGACCTCAAAAACATAAATTTAAGTAGAAAACATGTTTATGGGGGATTTTTTTTCAGAAACAAATTTATTCTAAAAGAACCCTTTTTTTCGTCTTAATTTGTTCATAACAAAGAAAATATAAATAATATTGATGAAATCAATGAACATTTATCATAATTAAGTATTCAAATAGTAGATAAACAAAAAAGAATCATTAAAATTGATGAATCCTATGAAATAGATGGTCTCTTTTTTGTAGCTGCACTGCTAAACTGGTGCAATAAGCTAGAATGAGAAAACTTATATTTGTCTCACTTTAACTTATTGCACCAGTTCAACAGTGCAGCTACAAAAAACAGACCAAGAATCAGAAAATGAAGAAAATATAATCAAATACAGTTTACAATCTATTGCAAGAAGTTGAATAATATATTCTTTTTTTAACTATGTTTCATACAATTGTTATGATGGTTATGATGAACATTTTTTGTAGCTAAGAAGTCCATAACTGATAACCGACAAAAAACTGATTGGAAATTTATTTGTTATGATAATCTTATTTCATTCGTGTTTATTTATTGTAAGACTGGAGCCAGAAGTACATCTATATATATTATTTTTCACTGTACATTATAATAATTTTTTCAAATTAACCAGTATAACCAGTAAGAATAAAGTATAGTAAAAATAAATAATAATCCGCTTAAAAAAAGATTAAATAATCTGTATATAAGAGGAAATTTATATTAAAATCAATAAGATTTGTATTATACTTATAACATATAATCTCCCTCTAACTTTAAGAATATAATGTGTTTATAATATTGTTGCGCTCACTCTCGCACTCGCGCTTGCACTCAGGTAAATGAAAACACTCGCATAAGAATAACAAGCTTTATTATTTACAGCGCAGCTCACTCAAGCTTTAAACAAGAATAATTCTCTGATCTACAATTCTCGCGTCTGTCTACGATGACAGCTTGCCAGAGACTCTCTGTCAGCTGTTGTTGTTTTCTTCTTATCGATTTTCCGTCTTTCAGACAATTTTCGTTCAGTTGTCAAAATCAGTATCAGATGCCTAAGGCTCACGGACAACGGACGCTATCACAAACCTTGTGGCTCGGACACAACAATATTTTCTCTTAATCTTAGAGGAATCCTCTTGAGGCCATATACAGGGTTCTCAAAAAGTCTTCGAACGATAAAATATCTCGAAAACAATCAGTTTTTGGAAAAAATGTTTCAGGCAAAAGTTGTAAGGTTTAAAATGATCTATTTACTGATCTTATCAGTTTGACCTTGGCTAGCGTCAACAAGATTAGGGCAAAGTCACCTTGAACTTTTCAAATGGAATGCCCTACATTTTTTGGCATATTCTTATAACGTATTTCAAGAGCTTCCCAAAACACTACAACAAAGTATTTTTTTGTTAAGTACATCCCGAGTTATGAAGCTTCAAAGTTACAGTACCGTCGGCATTAGCATTACCCAAGGTGTACCGCGTGGAGGTTGTACGATGAAAAGTTCAAGGTGACTTTGCCCTGACCTTGTTGACGCTAGCCAAGGTCAAACTGATAAGATCAGTAAATAGATCATTTTAAACCTTACAACTTTTGTCTGAAACATTTTTTCCAAAAACTGATTGTTTTCGAGATATTTTATCGTTCGAAGACTTTTTGAGAACCCTGTATAAGAGTAAAGTCCTTTAAAATTTCGATGATTCCGCTTGTTCTGAAATTACTTTTTTTTTGGATATGAGCGACCTGAGAGGCGCGAAACGTTCAAAGCTCTCGATGTTACAATAACCGAAACCGTTTACAATCGTAAGTGCGATTAAAACAATAATACTTCGGGTGAGTTTGATTTTATTGCTTTCTGCCGTTTGTTATCTCTGCTCGCACGGGACGGGACGGGAGTTGGCGTTGCATTTTTATCCTTGCAAGTCTGCAGCAGAAGATGCGATATTGTTGTAAAACGTTAAGCGTGCACGTCTTCTTGGCGATAATCGCGTGCAAGCCGCGTGAAAATTGCGACGCAAGGAATGCGCCAAGTTTGTTCGTTCGATTTGACGCGGATATGAATGTAACGCATTGTGCAGCGGGAGAAGTCACGATTAACAATGTTCAAATCTCTGCGTTTTCCCCCCAAAGTGTCCTGCGACAGCTCCTAAATGGGTGCGCGAGGAGATTGCGTGCTTTTTCGTTCTTCGTCCATCTCAATAGCCGTTCACGTGGATCTCTAAATCGGCGATTAAGAACGACCGTGACTCGGAGAAATGTTTTCACGTCTGGTCCCACGTGATCATTTGGACAAATTGAACATGATACGCTATATCGAGGCTAATTGACCGCGCGACGACGATAAAATTTATCAGTTCCTATCCGCATCCGGCATTTCACAACGTCGTGCATCTCCCGTGGCTAGTCGGTGAAATCTCCATTGATCTTGATGATTTACCGATTCTTTTTACTGTTTCTATCCTGACACATTCGCGGTCCCAAGAGAATATTATAATATCTAAAGAATTACTATTAACAGTTATGATATCTAAAAAATTATCACGCGCGTGCGATGTTAACTTAGTATTAGTATCACCAATCGTGCCGCAATATCGCTAGTGAAATGTTTCTTCGATGTCTTGGACGGAAATGATTGCGAAATAACGCAGTTGCGGCACCAAGTTAAATCGACGAAATCGAAAATGTTTTTAGTTAAGATTTCAAACGTGACAGTGGACGTATATGAGCGCGTGTCACTGATGATAAGCGATCAGGCTAGTTGGAAGCAAAACAAGCCGCTCGAAATACTGATGACGACTTGCCTCGTCTCTCTGCGAGCGAAACGCGTCGCGGGAAAAAAATACAATTTGGAAAGGTGGTGAAAGCGCGTTCGCGCTGAAAAATCCCTGTTGAAAAATTGCCGGTTTGCAACAAATGCGCGAGGCATTTTAATCATACAAATTCGCAGATAAATCCTGAGCGTGATTATCGCGATCACATAGGAGACAAAAGTGGCAGATCGAGCTTGACTTCGTACGACGAATGGAAGCTGAAGAATCGTGACGGCGTTGTTATTCACACGACGCTGAATGGGACCGAGAGCATCGCGTCTTTTCGCCCTATTAAAGCGTCTTTGAACGATTTTATCTGCGGGAGTTATTAATACAATAATCGGGCATGCGCGAACGGCCTCGCGTGTCCACGCGTGGTGAAGTCGACGTTGAGCTTGGCGAAGAGCGTCAGGCAGATAATAAAATCCCCGTCGAAATAATAAGCGTCAGAGATGCGTCAGTGGTGCGATGACGATGGTGTGACAATTTGACAAATGTGTCCAAGGCTGACAGATCAGCCATAGTCGCATCGGTCGACGGCCACGGGACGAAAAAATCGGCCGGATAAATGGCGCTTATCGCCTTGTTAAATATTAGCCTCTCTCGTGGCGGGGCACGAGTCGGCAGAGTCGAGCAACAAATTGTTTATCCGACACGCGCAGCTAGAGTTTCCAATCTCAGATACAACTTAGGATTTCGGGATTTTTTGGATTCCATCCCGGGATCCCGGGACTAGTCCCGGGATTATATATATACCTATATAAAGAATCGTAAATCGTATATAAAGAAAGAAACAAAGAATATTTACAAATAATAGAATTATTTTATTTATAGAATGTTCATAGACTTTTATGAATATTATGACAAACAAAAAATAAAATTTTAATAAAAATAAAAGCAACTTACATTAATGATTGCACAAAAACCGTTATAATTAAAAACCTCGAGGATCCCGAATTCGAGTCTGTGTTGCGCCAGTTTATTCGCGAAATTAAAAATGGAAAATTCCCTTAATATTTAAAACAAATAAAAATAATACATTGAATTAAATTTAAAATATAAATACACATTTCTCTAGCGAATGATCTAAAATATTAGTAATAAATAATAATTATTAAAGTAAAATTTTTGTAAAACGTAAGTATTATATAGACGCTAAACATTAAATTTTGAAATCCTGAAATCCCGGGATTTGTGATGTTGAATCCCAAGTATTTTCGGGACCAAAAATTTGGCTGGGATTCCAGGATCCCGGGATTGGAAACCTACGCGCAGCTAATGATATTAGAGATTATCTCCCGAATTTTACGACGAATGTGTACATGTTTCTCTCGTCTTTTTTTCTCTTTCAAGGCAGACCACGCTTTGCGCTCTGTCTGATGATTTTGAGCATTTAAAATCCACGATGCAGCGAGATTTTCGTCGGCTGATTACACACGTCGTGACACGTCGCGGCGCTTCAGAAAACGTTGTACGTTGAATTCGACTCGAACTGTTCTCGAGCAGCAGCGGAGATTCGGTCGAAGTGACTGCTGCCGGTTGCCCGTATCGTTGCGAAGCGATTACTATGTAACGAATCGCACGCGTGACACAACAGCACTTCGTTTCATATGTATCAACGAGAGTTTCATCATGGAACTTTTTTCTCCGTTGCGGAAGCCTGAACAATCTCTCGCGTCGTTGTGCGGCAAGATACGCGAGGGTTCGCCATTCATACTGTCTCGTACATTTCGTACCCTTAAAAGACCGCAGAAGAGAGTAAGCAGGAATGTGGAAACGCGTCGTTGATGCTGCAGATAGTTTGCTGGGCGATAAAATCACGCGGTTGCGATTCGCGGGATGCCTCCTTCTCCGCCGAATCTCGGTCGGCGAATCAGTGGACAAGCGAAATACGACGGAGATAACGACGTATCTGACACGTAAGCAATTAGCTATTCTGACCAATCGACGGCGCGCTGAGATCCGTTTTAATTAACAGTTCGCGGAGCGGGCCATTTCTACATGTCGTCTTGCAACGTCATCGAATGTACAGATTTGTGTTTCACAAAAAACCGCGAGAACTACAACGGAGAAGGATGACCTGTGCCAGCGAATGCCAGGCATTCGATTTTTGTTTGGCTTCGTTCTCATTGGAGGGAGCTAGGTGAAGATATCCTTCATCTAAAGAAAGTAATTTCAGAATAAGCGGAATCATCTAAATTTTAGAGGATTTTATTCTTATATATGGCTTCAAGAGGATTTCTTCAAAATTAAGAGGAAAATATTATAAACACGCTATATTATTAAAGTTAGAGGGACATTATATGTTATATATATAATGCAAATTTTATTGATTTTAATATATTGGGTGAGTGCAAAAGTTCGTGCGGAGTTTGTGAGTAAAAGTCACACAGTGATTAGGCAAACAAAAATCTTTATTCAATCAATGATATATTCTCCATCGTTTTCTATAATCTTTTCCCAACGTTCTGGCAGCATACGGATGCCTCGATCATAAAAACTGCGCGGTTTAGATTCGAAGAACGAAGAGATGCCGTTTTTTAAGGCCTCCAAAGAGTCAAAGTTTTTTCCATTTAAATAATTTTGCAATGACCGGAACAAGTGATAGTCAGATGGTGCGATATCAGGAGAATACGGTGGATGCGTTAAGACATCCCATTTCAGGCTCTTCAGTTTGCGCAGCGTCTTTTTCGAAACGTGTGGTCTGGCGTTGTCGTGATGAAAGACGACTCCCTTGCGATTTGACAAAATCGGACGTTTCTCTTTTATTTCTCGATTCAGATTGGTTAATTGGCGACAGTACTTGTCCGAATCAATCGTTTCGCCAGCGGGGAGAAGCTCGAAATAGATTATGCCCTTGCAATCCCACCAAACAGAGAGCATCACCTTCATCGGGTGCAAACTGGCCTTTGGCATTGCGTCACCATGCTCACCTGATTGTTTCCATGTCCGTTTGCGCTGAACATTGTTGTAGAGGACCCATTTCTCATCGCCCGTCACTAGTCGATCCAAAAACGACTCGTTATTGAGCCGCCCGAGTAAAGAAACGGCTGCAGAAATTCGCTTGATTTTGTTCTTCTCGGTCAGCAAATAGGGCACCCATATATCGAGCTTCAAATCGAATCCCATCTTTTTTAAACGCCGAAAAGCGGTTGATCGGTCAACGTTTAGTGCTGTAGCAACTTCTTCTGTTGAAATTCGCGGATTATTGAGCACTAAAGTACGCAAAACATCGTCATCAATCAGAAGGTCGACCAGAGCGTGGCTCGTCTTCAAGGTTAAATTCTCCGCGCTGAAATTTAGCAAACCATTTTTTGCACAGTTCGTTTAGCTGATGCTTCATCCTGATAAACATCCTGAATGTTTTTTACGGCTGCGGCAACGTTTATTCCCTTCCGAAACTCGTAAAGCATAACATGCCGTAAATGCACCTTATCGATACTCATTTTTAAAGTGATATTTCTCGAAGCAGTTTGTATGAAAACAAATTATTTTTTTTTTAATAACAGCTGAAGACGTCACCTTTCCAACGTTATATAATATGTAGATGGAAGTATTAATGACAACACTTTACGACGCTTATAACTCCATCTATTGAAACTCCGCACGAACTTTTGCACTCACCCAATAAATTTCTTCTTATACACAGATTATTTAATGTTTTTTTAAGAGGATTATTATTTATTCTTACTGTACTTTATTCTTACTGCTTATACGTTTTTTTTATAGGGGAAGAAGAAAAAAATTATTATGAAAATTCTAGTTAAATTTTTTTTGACTTTCTGCTGAAAAAAGCATAAGAATAGAAAAAAGTATAAATTTACACATAGATTATTTAATCTTTTGTTAAGAGGATTATTATTTATTCCCACTATATTTTATTCTTACTGGTTATACTAGTTAATTTGAAAATATTATAATGTACAGCAAAAAGTAATATATATAGATGCACATGTGGCTCTAGTTCTACGATAAATAAGCGCGAATAAAATAAGATTATCATAACAAAATTATCATAACAAATAAATAAATCAGTTTTGTACCAATTGTATGAAATATAGTTAAAAAAAGGAATATATTATTCGATTTCTGCAATAGATTATAAACTGTATTTGACCAAATATGAATAAATTATTTTTGTTATATGTTACAGCAACACACCTTTTTAAAAAGCGTCCCAAATATTCTGACCCATAAACATATGGTTATTTTTTCGTTCATATCTGAAAGTAAAGCACGATTGAACAAAAGAAGTCGACATTCAAATCAACATATTCTTCTTGATATAAGAGAAAAATTAATTGATACAAGAGGAAATCCTCTTGAAATAAGAGGAAAATAGAATAATATCTAATAAATTATAGATGAATGGTTTATTTTAATCGCTTTATCGAGAGAGGAATCCTTTTTCTGTAAAAGGCTTCCTTCGCTTAGAATATGAGATTATAGGAAAAATCAAATAGAATACTTTTTGGATGTTATTATCTTAGACAAGGATCAAATGTTTGGCATCAAATAGATAAAGATCGAATGCCTATGGACAGTGGAAGAGCAATATAGGCGTCCTTCTCTCTATTATTTGAAAACCTCGAATGAAAAGTTTATGTATACATTTAAGTCTGAGGTGACGAATGTGACCGTCGCTAGATTGTTATCGTTGTGTTCCGAGAGACTACAGAGGCGACAGCAGCTGTATGTTGCGCAAGGATTCACTCGTGAGAGATTTCTCACCTATGAAGGCGCTTCTTTTCTCGAAGTTTCTGAAGCTTTTCGGTGCGTCGAGAAAAATCGCGACAGACAGAATCGTCCATCTAATTGGCTTTCGGCTCACGATCGCGCGCACTTTTCCCGCGAGACCAATCCTCTACCAAGGACTCGCGGCGCGATGGTTGTCCTTACCTCCTGCGGGTAGAAAGGCGCCTGCAGCGACACACAGATAGCGTTCGCGAAGTCGGCGATGCTGATGACGATGAGGGTGAGCCATTGTCTCTTGGTGAATTGGATAACCATTCTGCTAGTTGCGTTTCGCACTTTATCTTCTCACTCTCAATTGTCCGTGTTCTCTCGCGGATACGCTGGTCTTTCGCGACGCGGAGTGCTCTTCAATCGACTGGCGAAAATGAAATATTTTTCTCTACGACATTGAGGGCGCGATTCGATCGACTGATTGGCCGAGTCATTCGGGATGAATAATACGAACGAGTATGTGTACACCATACATTGTCCAGCACTTTCGTCGAGGATCGTTCTGTCTTGTCTCACCTCTCGCCTTGTCTTCTTCGTCACGCGGTTCGTTTTGTGCGTGAGTCGTGCGTGGCAGAATCGTCGTTGCGCACTGCGCGACGCTGATCACTTTTAAGGTTGAAACGGCCGAGAACACAGGGTCGGAGGTCGGCAGATATGTCCTACCACGGTTCTAATTCATTATCGGCTGCCGACGTTGCTCCCGACAAGCCATTTTCTCTCTCTCTCTTTCTCACATGAATGCGGCGTTAAGCGTTCTCTTTTCATGTCGTCTTCATTATGGATTCGATCGAGCCTCGTAAGAGCGCTTTTTTCTCGAGCGGAAATGTGCGTTTCCGGCAGTTTCGGCAGAGAAAAACGGCAATCGTTGAAAAATGTGCCAATCCGATTAGCGTATGTTTCGAACGTCGGCTGGGCTAAAGATTGGCCAATTGGATTCGCGAATTCTGAACGACGGTTGCGTCGTTCGTAATGGGACTTTTTGAATCCGTGTTATTATTGGATTGTTCGGAAAGTAATTTCGGTCTTTTCAAATGAATGGTGTTAATTGCCTTTTTGGTAAATATTATATATAGAAAAGGGTACACCTTACCGATTTTTTTCATTTTGAAATATGTTATAAAGGATGAAATTCTGAGTGACTTCCTGATACAACTATATGGGGGTTGCTTATAGTTTCCGAGATATTTGATTTTAAAGTTTTGGAATTTTGATTATCCTGGAATTAAATTCCAGATATCATAAGCTGACGTTATTTATAGTACAATCCAAACAGTTAATCCAAACATATATATAGAAATATAGGAAACAATACATATAAGCGGGAGAAGGGCTTCGCCCCTCCCCCGTACCCCCTCCCTATAAAAATCCTAACCTAACCTAACTTATTGTATCTTTATATATTGTTGGGCGATGTTGAAAAGATCTCCTTAAAAGTCACAACACCTAATTATATGCAAATATTATAATAAGTTAAGTTGAGCCAGATGATAGATCTTAAGAGAACTTTCTTCAACAATGTCCAAAAATATATAAAAATGCAATAAGTTAGGTTAGGTTAGGATTTGTTTTGGGAGGGGGTGCGGGGAAGGGGAGGTGCCCCTCTCCCGCTTATATGTATTGTTTCCTATATTTAAAGTGAATGAAAACTGCTTGTCTATTTCGAATATACTTCAACGTATAATTATAAAACTTTAAAGTCAATTTTCTCAGAAACTATAAGCGACCCCCATATAATTGTATTAGGAAAAGTCATTCAGAATTTCATCCTTTATAATATATTTTAAAATGAAAAAATCGGTGAGGTGTACCCTTTTCTATATACAGGTTGCGTGAAAAGTTCGCGGAGCGGCATCTATAAGTAAACGGTAGAATTATAAATTGTAGTCGGTTATATAGAATTACTCTTCACATGAACCTAGGTTAGGTTTCATTTCCATCTGTCAATTCTTTTTGTGTTTACAAGCCAATTGAAGTTGACGTGTCAGTATATTTGTTCGCAATGGAAAATTTGAAACAGCGTGCAGTGATTGAGTTCTTTGTTAAAAAAGGTTTAAAGGCAATGGAAATTCATTCCGATATGGTAAATGTGTTAGGGGAATCTGCTTCTTCAAAAACAATGATTGGTAAATGAGCACTTGAGTTTCAACGTGGTCGTAAAAGCATTGAAGATGATCCACGCTGTGGACGTCCAAGAAGCGCATCAATACCAGAAATTATTGAGCAAATACATGTTATTGTTTCTGAAGATACAAATGTGACTAAGCGTGAAATTGCTCATACCATAGGCATTTTAAATGAACGGGTACGGCATATTTTGCATAAAGAATTACAAATGAAAAAGGTGTTTGGAAAAGTGGTGCCGCATACGTTAACAATTCAACAAAAACTCGCTCGAAAGAAAATTTCTCAGCGTCATTTGGATCGTTTTAAGGAGAATAAAACCGATTTTGTGCGTCGTTTTATAACTATGGATGAGACTTGGATCTATCACCATGATCTCAAATTGAAACTGGAACGTTTACAGTAGACTGAAGCTGGATGTTCAGCTCCGAAGCAAACAAAGCATGAAAGGTCGGCAAAAAAGGTTTTGGCATCAGTTTTTTGGGATGCTAAAGGGATTTTGTTAATTGATTATCTGGAAGAAGGTAAAACAATTAACTCTGAATATTATTGTAACCTTTTGGATCAATTGGACGCAAAAATTCGTGAGTAAAGATCTGGTTTGCAGCACAAACAAATCATTTTTCACCAAGACAACGTACCTGCTTACAAAAGTGTTTTGTCAATATCTAAATTCAATGAATTGAAGTACAAATTGCTTGATCATCCACCGTATTCGCCAGACTTGGCACTCAGCGATTCTATCTGTCCCGAAACCTGAAACAATTCCTCTGTGGAAAGCATTTTTTGTCGAATGAAGAAGCTCTAGCAGCCGTAGAGGCATATTTCGCAGACCTTCTAGAAACACACTTCCGCGATGGAATAAAATTATTGGAGAGCCATTGGGCCAAGTGTATTGAAGTTAATGGAGACTATATTGAAGAATAAAATCATTTTTAGAATTAGGTATTCTTTATTTCAGTTTCGCTCTGCGAACTTTTCACGCAACCTGTATTTACCGCCTTTTTAAGCAGTTAACCTCATTCTAAACCTGAAAATCATTTTACATTTTTACAACATACATTTCAAGCTTCATTTGACAAAAAGATATTTTAGAATCTGTTAAATTGTTTTTGTTTGGAGTCGCGTCAAAAATGGAAAACTAAACGTTTACGTCACGTTTTGCTTTTTTATTACCGTAAATGCAAAAATGCAGGCAAGAAAAAAATTATGTGCCATGGAGAGGATGTGTTGACTGAAAGCCAGTGTCAATGTTGGTTTCCGAAATTTCGTTCTGAGAATTTCGACCTCAAAGATGCATTACGTTTTAAAAGGCCAGTTAAGACTGATGAAGACCAAATAAAGGCATTGGTGGATGCAAATCGTCATTTAGCAATACGAGAAATTATTGAGAGATTGAATTTATCGAATTCGACCTTGCATGAGTATTTTAAACAACTTGATTTCGTTTCAAAGCTCGATATTTAGGTTCCACGCGTTCTCAAAGAAAGAAATTACATTCGTCGCATTACCATCTGCGATCTGTTGTTGAAACGTCAGGAAAATGATCCATTTCTGAAGCAACTCATTGGAGATGAAAAATGGATTGCGTACAACAATATTGAACGCAAAAGATCATGCAGTAGACGTGATGAAGCAGCTCAAAGCACATTGAAAGCTAATATCCATCAAAAGAAGGTGATGCTCTCTGTTTAGTGGGATTGTAAAAGAATGGTTTTTTATTTAACTGCTACCAAACCACCAAATGAATGATTCGAATGTGTATTGTCATTAATTGGACAAATTGAATGATTTTATCAAGCAAAAGAGACCAGAATTGGCGAACAGAAAAGGTGTTGTGTTTCATCATGACAACGCTGGACCTCACACAAGTTTAACGACTCACCAGAAGCTGTCAGCGCTTGGATGGGATTTGCTACCGCATTCACCATATTCACCTGATCTGGCACCATCCGATTATCACTTGTTTTGATCACTGCAAAATTCTTTGGATAGTAAAAATTTCGACTCAAACGAACGTGTCAAAAACTATTTAATTCAGTTTTTTGCCAATAAGGACTAAAAGTTCTACGAGCGTGGGATTATGTTATTACCTCAAAGATGGCAAAAGATATGGCAAAAGTTGGAACAAAATGGTCAGACTGGACTTAACAGAATAAAACTTTTCTTTCTATTAAAAATATCGTCTTTCGTTTTCATGCAAAAAACCGAAATTACTTTCCGAACAACCCAATATTATTTATATCTTGCACACATCCATGTCGCACCTTTGCGATCGAAGACGTCTCGCGCGCACGTTAATTACCGCGACGCGATTCCCAAAGAGAAGATGCGAAATGTTTTCGTTATTTCGATGAAAGGAGACTTACTCTTACAGAGTTTGTGGTTTATGTTATTTTATTTCGAGGTAGATTTATATTTTCATCGGCTTCGCTAGAGAGCAATTTAAATGCGACACAATTGTTGAGGCGACTATTTTTCTACTAAATATATTTTATACACACAGCTTCGTGTATAAATTATTTATATAATACGAGGCATACGCGTCTGATTATACATAAGTCGCGTGTGTACTTGGTATTACGCTAATCGTATAATTACTAAAATTACAATGCGATACAGATACGAGTATCCGAACATTGCTTAATATCGAATTGATTGTGTGACATTTCGTTGGTCGACGGGAATATCGCAGCCATAGGCGTCGCGACAGTTCCAAAGTATTCCTCGCTGTCGGTCCAAGTCGTACGTTATTTATTATCGATCGATATAAAATACAGAGCCTGGATTATTGAATCCCGATCTCTCGAAATGTCATGAATTACAGCTGATTATGCGACATCCTGCGCAAAATCAAACTTCGCAATGTCACTCATTTTATCACACCTCCATTAAGGGGTTAGGGGTCAGAATTTTCAAAAAATCGATTTTTTTTGCATTTTCTTGAAATATGATGTCTCGAAAATATTACCTGAAAATTTCAAGTCAATCCAACGAATAGTTTTCGAGATATCCTACATTTACTGAAGGGCTCTCTGACCCTCGACGACAGGTAGCTGGCAGCAGCTGCAAATAACCGGTTTCAATCGGCGTAAGAGGTTAGGGGTAGTCAGAGGCGTAAACAAATGAGTATTTTAAATAATTTATTTTTGACAGTACTTAAATTTATTTTATAAAACTAATAATACGGAGTTATTATATTATGTTTTAACTTTACTTGACCAAAATTTCAAAAAAAAAAATTAATTGTAGACGAAGTTATCACCATCTTTGTTGGACCCCGTTCCACAAGTAGTGCTTTGCGGTGACCATCAGAACATTTTACTAGTTCATCTAAAATCAATGAAACAAAAAAATCATTAGTTTAATAGTTAATCTAGTACTTAATCGAAGCTTTTTTTTTGAAAATTTTTTGAAAATAAACAAAATGGCGGCTTCTGAAAGTTTACTCACGGATTTTCAAGGAAAAAGGCACTAGTTTATTGTTAAAAAAAATAGAAGTTTAAAAAAAAAAGCATCCTTCGATTAAGGATTAGTTTATTATGCTTTCAATAAGCTGTATAAATTTCATTCAAATCCGTCGAGTCGTTTTTGAATTACAGTGGTCACCGACTTTGAAAACATAGTTTCGAGAAAAACGCATTTAAAGGTTTAGTCTAGGCGCGGTATTACCTTTTCGTATAATTTTGAGGTCAGTGGATGAAGTAAAGCTTATTTTATATATTTTGATCTTCTGAATCCGAATATCGCATTAGTTTTTCCGAAAACCCGTTTTCCCAAAAAATTGAAAAACTCAAAAATTTCAAAAATTTTCAAAAATTTATTACTCAAAAACTATAAACTTAAGCTAAATTTTATAAGAATAACTTTCGTTTTAAAATTGCCCAAAATATAAAAAAAAAAATAATTCATCCCCAAAGAGATATTTTTAACAATTGTTTAAACAATTGCCTTTAAACAATTGAATGCCCAGGTTTTCGGAAAAACTAATGCGATATTCGGATTCAGAAGATCAAAATACATAAAATAAGCTTTACTTCATCCATCGACCTCAAAATTATACGAAAAGGTAATACCGCGCTTAGACTAAAACTTTAAATGCGTTTTTCTCAAAACTATGTTTTCAAAGTCGGTGACCACTGTAATTCAAAAACCACTCCACGGATTTGAATGAAATTTATACAGTTTATTGAAAGCATAATAAACTAGTCTTTAATCGAAGGATTTTTTTTTCTTGAAAACTTCTATTTTTTTTAACAATAAACTAGTGCTTCTTTCCTTGAAAATCCGTGAGTAAACTTTCAGAAGCCGCCATTTTGTTTATTAAAAAAAAAAGAAAAGCTTCGATTAAGTACTAGATTAACTATTGAACTAATGATTTTTTTTTGTTTCATTGATTTTAGATGAATCAGTAAAATGTTCTGATGGTCACCGCAAAGCACTTGTGGAACGGGATCCAACAAAGATGGCGATAACTTCGTCTACAATTAATATTTTTTTTGAAATTTTGGTCAAGTGAAGTTAAAACATAATATAATAACTCTGTACTATTAGTTTTATAAAATAAATTTAAGTACTGTCAAAAATAAATTATTTAAAATACTCATTTTTTCACGCCTCTGACTACCCCTAACCTCTTAATAAAAAAAGAAAAATCTCTACACCCTACGATAATTTGTGATCTCAATGTTTTCTCGCAATCGTGAAACGTATGCTCTTGCACTTCGATGAAATAATGCAGCAACGATGAATTCATGTGTGCATGTATGTATGGTGAGAACGTGAGAACTTGTACTGTATATCATATCAAATCTTTGCGGCAGTTATTACGTATCGTGCAACAACATTTTTAAGGGTAGTTTGCTGAAAATGTTGCCGAGGAAACCCTTGAAGTATTTGGCGATACTCGCGCTTGCCGCCGGTTTCAATTCGTCGATGATCTCGTGCGCATTCTGATTCAGGAATTGATTCATCGCCTGTCCGATCACATTGTCGCCGTTCAGCTGGTCCATTATGCGGAATCGGATGCGGCCGAGTTTGAAGTCGACCAGTAGTTTTGTAATCGATATGTAACGAATGCCGTCTCGCACTTCCTCGACACCCTGCGCGCGCGCGATCCCTGCTACCTCATCTGTAAAACGCCCATAGTTGCGAATACGTGTGAATTGAGAGAATAATAGAAAGAGAAATAGAAAGAGAAAGAGAGAGAGAGAGGGGGGGGGAGGGAAGTGAACAAACACTTATCTCTCCTTGAATTTTTCACGGTACGATCGAAAACAAATAAATTAGCTACAACTAAATTACAAGTAATAACAGCAACTGAGTTGTAAAAATAAATGGTCATTTTAATCCTTTCGCTTCGGCAGTCCAGTCCGCCGAAGTGCCATCATTGAACAGAAGCACGCGTCAGAAATGTGCACAGTGCTCGTGGTTTTTGTATATACATTCTGTAAAGTAAGAGCGTGTACGGCATAAATGGCAGTTGGCTTCAAATATCATCCTAGTTTTTTTGTGAGTCGATAGATGAAATCTTTATTGTGAATGCTTTGTCACAAAAGATTCAGTTGGCGTCGAACTCTAACCTGAGAAACACGTTAATCGCCGTTGAGTGCCGCATACGCATCGCGTTACGAGGCTGTGTTCCTTTGTTCCCACCCCAAAGGACCAAAAATGTCATATGCAGTGGCTGCTAAATACATGGGAAAGTCAAAATCGTTCGTCGCTAAGTGGGTTCAGCAATATAAGAAGATAAAAAATGTCGATGACTTGCCAGAACGTGGCTCGATAGGTAAAGTGACGCCGAATATGGAAAAAAAAAATTGTGAATTTGTTTAAGCGGAACCCGAACTTAATGCTTAAAATTTATGAGAAGTGTTTGTTGTCGACTGCTGAACGATGCTTCATAAAAAAAAAACGAGGACTGGATCTTACAGGAAGATAACGACTCAAAACACCGGAGCAAGCTTTGAACCGAGTGGAAAGAGCAGTCTGGCATCGTCACACTTGATTGGCCATCGCAGTCGCCAGATGCAAATCTCATTGAAAATGTGTGGGCATATCTCAAGCACAAGCTTCGAGGAAAAAGAGTGTGCACTTTGAAACAGCTGACACGACAAATTCGTCTCATTTGGAGGTCTTTACCGAACGAATACGCAGTCAACTTAGTGGAAAGTATGCCTCGGAGATGCCAGGCAATTATCAATGCCGGTGGTGACTGGACTCATTATTAATGGTGTAGCATTTTTCTTCTCATGGAGTACAACAAATCCATGTACTTAAGAATAAATTTTTCTACATATTAACCCGTACACGCTCTTACTTTACAAACTGTACGTTTTTCTAAGTCTTAAATAACAACTGTGCTTAATAAAACAATCGTTGCTCTAATATAACAAGTATAGTTTACATTTTTAACATGAAAAGACTTATACAAAATTATATTAGTTATTCTAAAAATATTAGACCAATTACAGTTTACATATTTTTAGATATTTATATATTTACAAGACTTTACGATTAAATGTTTAATATAATTAATAATGTAACGCAAATTAGTCAATATATAATTAGTTAATATATTAAATCTCTAAAAAAAACGTATATTAAATATCGTTTCACTGTCGAATGAATTCGATAGATTGTTTGGAATGAAACAGTAAACGATCGTTTTGATGTCTGAGGTATATTACGTAATACGTTTTGATGTCGTAACAACAAAGACTAGTTTTAATATGTGATTAATCCGATATGTCAATAAAATCAACAAAAAATGTTCTGCCGATAACGAAGAAATTATCATCGACTACAGATGGCACTTGTATACACATCATATGGATGCCGGATATATCCGGCGTTCGTGCTCACAGGTCGTCGCGTGGATGCCGGATATATCCGACTCTTGAAGCGAAAGGGTTAAAGATATAAATATACAGAGGGTCTGGGAAACGAAAAATTGTGAAGACTAATCAGATCAAACTGAAAAGAAAAGTCAAGTACTATTTTGCAAAAATCGCAATAGTTATTAGGTTATTAACGATTGAAAATGACCACATCTAGGCCCTTTTAATCGATAACTTGAGAACTTGTGTACTTATTTGCAAAATGGCAAAAAAGAACTTTTTTGTTCAGAATGACTTGATCTACAATTATATGATTGCTATTGGTCTAGCAATAGATATGAGTATATCGAACTTTGAACTCTGAATCTTAAACTTGTCGCTATGCACAATAGCTGTTATATGATTGTAGATTAGGTCATTCTGAACAAAAAAGTCCTTTACCATTTTGCAGATAAGCAAATTTTCAAGTTATTAATTAAAAGAGCTCCTAGATGTAGTCATTTTCAATCGTTAATATTAATATTAGGTTGGTGCAAAAATGATTGCGGTTTTTATGTATCGAGTATAAAGACGCATAAATCAGTTAAAAATTATATTTGTTAATCAAAATAAAGACCATTGGCCTGCACACATTTCTCCTAATGAGAAACAACCTCTCGAGTTGTTTTACGTGGGTCCGCTTCAATAATGGTTCTTCAATCATTATTGTCTATAGCTGAAGGACGTTCACGATCCTTCTCATTTTCGAGGCTTTCGTTTCCATCACGAAATTTTTAGAATCAGCGTTGAACTATACGTTTACTAATTGACTCTTCGCTAAAAACAAATTTGATATTTCGAGCAGTTTTTGTTGCTTTACGCTCCCAATTTCAACTCATACAACAAAATCGCGCGAATTCGCTTTTTTCTATAACTAATTTAAAATATTATGTCCAACAATACTAAAGAATGAAAACAATAGACATAAGCTGAAATCAGTAGTGCCAATTTCATTGTTTGCAATGATGTATCATATGACTATAACAAAAGTTAATGTTAATAAGTAATTATTTTTGTACCCAACCTAATAACTTAATAACTATTGCGATTTTTGCAAAATGGTACGTAACTTTTCTTCTTAGTTTAATCTGATTAATTTTCATAATTTTTAATTTCCAAAAGATCCCGGACCTTGTGTATATGGTATAGGGTGTGTCAATTTTGACAGAGCTCGTGTCATTGAATCATAGAGCTGATTAAGACAAGCACAAAAATCCCATAACATTTTGCAATATTCGCAATAATTACCGAGATATTAATGACAGAAATCTGACTAGTGAGCGCGCCCCGAGATGGATGATTGAAGCGTTGCAGCCTCTTGAGCCACAGTACGGCTCGTAAGGAAACATAGGGAATGCGGAAATTTAAAAAATTCTGAAACTTTGTGTGGAAGTAAAGTAGTTTATCCGTAAAACTATTTTTTGTTTGTGCGGAATTCTGATAATAGTCGGGTAATACCACCTTTCGAAAAAAACCATTTTCATTTTTAGCATATATCTTTTAAAATATGAGGCATATGCAAAAATGGTTTGTATAAAAGTCGTAGTCTATTTCATACTCTTTGTAACTGTGTATTCAGATTTTGTAAAACTGAAAAATTTTTGAAACCCCCTCCGCCCTCCTCTAATTTTGCAAAATCTGAATGCATAGTTGCAAAGAGTATGAAATACACTATAACTTTTATATAAACCACTTTTGCATATGTCTCGTATTTTAAAAGATATATACTAAAAATGAAAATGGTTTGTTTTTTTTTTTGAAGGGTGGTTTTATCTCCTCAGGCTAGAATTTCGTATGAACAAAAAATAGTTTTGCATTACGGATGAACTACTTTACTTCCACACAAAGTTTCAGAATTTTTTGAATTTCTCCGCGTTCTCCACGTTTCCTTGTCAGTCGATCCAGGCGTAACTATGGCGTAAGAGCGAGATTAAACACGAATAGCTGTCCTTCCCTTCGCCGCGCCCTGATTTCTGTTATTAATAACTCGGTAATTATTGCGAATATCGCAAAACGGCAAGGGCAACTTTTATGTTTGTCTTCTCTATGACTCCATGAGTTCTGTAAAAATTCTTCTGGGACACCCTGTATATAACTATAAAATATCTAGAATGGAGGTACTCACTGAATAGCGCCCAAAATTCGCCGCGACTCTGTATGGGGAAGAGCAGTACATTTCCGTTGATATCGTAGAGACCCTGCAGCTCGATCTTGGGGAACTTTAGGTGAATATCTATTCTTAAAGACGATATGTTGACGCGTACTTTGCTGATGGTGTAGTTTCCCGGTCCTATCGCGGTGATGTTGTTGAATAACGCTCGGACGCGCACCGCGCCCTGGCCGTTTTCGATCTTCATCTCGGGAATCACCAGAGGCTCGATCGGGGGCAAATTCAGCTCCGGGATACCTGCGCGGATGAAAAATTCACCTGTTAGAAAAGTACCTTCGACTACCTTAGTCGCCGGCGAGCGACCGTCAGCAAAAATATAACGCGACTTGGCCGCGACAGCGAAACCAACGCAGTTGTGACTCGTGAAAGGTAACGTTGCGCGAACGCCAATTTCTAGTTCTTCGAAGCTGACGGTGTCCGGTTACGCGACTATTACCGAACACGAACAATTGTCCGGACACTTTCATTCACGCGGTTGTTAATTCGAATCGGTCTCGATTCCTTCGCCATGAATCGCCGTGCATTTACCATGCTGACGATATTTTGCAACGACGTTTGCGAGCGTGCGTAATTAACGTAGCAACGCTCCTCGGCGAAGCCTCCCCGTTCCCTGAGCTCTGACTCACTTGTTGCATAAAATGTATATTGCAAAAGTCCAAATCGTCCGAATCGTCGCAAATTTTCGCGATATTTACGGGGTTACCGATGAAAGTTCACAGCAAGAGCATAGCTCTCTCTTACGACATGAGAAACATGCTTTATGTAACGCACCCGCGCACAATCGGTACTCGCGGCCTACCATTTACGGGCTTACTTCGTCGTCAACTGGTCTTGCCGCTGTATTAATTGGTGTTACGTAAATTCGTCAAATAGCCAAAAGTAGAATCCGACGGCACACGTGCAGCTTGACGTGCGGACGAGAATGTCCGCTTTCGGCAACGAGCACACTCGGTGATTTCTCTCGCGCTTTTCTTTTCTTCTCTTGCCGTTGACACATTCACTCTGAGGATCGTGCTAGAATCGGTCTCGCCGAGGAACGTTCGAATCATTTTCATTCATAAACAAAGTGAAGCAATAAATTGAGCGCGATGAACAATGAAGAGACGCGAAGACACGTGCATTCTGGGGGGGGACTTTAGGAAAAGTTTAAATGAAAAACCTCGGTCGACGTTTTCTCGTTACATTAGAGATATGCAAAAGTTTCCATTCTAGATAGCATTGTGAATTATTTACATGAAAGTTGTGATGCATTCTTGTTAGATTATGTCAGTACTGGTCAACCTACATGAAAACTGATGCATAATCAGTCATATTCATTGATATAAATGTTTTTGATTCGTATGAAGATGGAAGTGTAGATAAAACGCGCATATTCGTCATTGTATGTTGTTTTTATTTCATCAGCGCAAAACCGAGGCAACTAGAATGACTTGCGAGACTTATGCTGAAGGAACGATAGTTGAAAGTTCATGTTGCGATTGGTTTCGGCGTTTTAAAAGTGACGATTTTGACGTGAAAGACAAGGAACGTGCCGGGCGACCGCAAGTGATGAGTTCGGGTGACTTGCAAGCGTTATTGCAACAAGATTTAATTCAATCGAGTGTAGAACTTGCGAAAGGGGTTACACGTTAATCAGAACACTGTAATTCGACGCTTGCATGAGATGGGGAAAATTCTGAAGGAAGGAAAACGGGTTCTCTATAAATGATCCGAGAACACTATTGCCAGCTAAGTCACCATTTGTCTTTCGCTGTTCAATAGACACAAACAAGTCTTTTTTGTATCGAGTTGTGATCAGAGAAGAAAAATGGATTTATGACAATCTCAATCGCAAAAGATCATGGATAAAACCCGGAGAATCTTCTACGTCACAGCCAAAACGAAATATCCATGGTGATAAGATCCTCCTGTGTATCTGGTGGAACATGCAAGGAGCGCTGTATTATGAGCTGTTAAAACCATCTCAGACTATCACCGCGGAATTATACAGTCGACAATTGAGGCGGTTGAATGAACAATTGATCGAGAAACGGCCATATTTTGCGACAAAGAAAAATAAAGTGATTTTCCTGCACGATAATGATGGGCCTCATGTTGCATTGACAACCCGGAAAACTTTAATAGAAATCAATGGGGAGTCCTAGTACGGCATATTCTCCAGATATTGCCAGATATTGCGTCGGATTTTCACTTATTTCGTTCTATGCAGCACAGTCTTTCTGGTACACGATTTCGCAATGTGTTGAGCGAGTGCAACAATTCATCGATAACTTCATTCATTCTAAGAGCAAAGACTTCTCTTATCGTGGAATCCATCTTTTGCCCGAGAAATGGCAAAAAGTAGTAGATAATGTCGGAAAATATTTTGACTCAAGATACCATGTCATTTATAATAACATTAATAAAAGACATTGCCTTGAGAACGGTGGAAATTTTTGCATAGCCCTAATAGTTTCCCAGTAAATTTCGCGCCGAACGTCGAAAGTGTCGAGTTCGCGCGAGTATCGCGCTTTTGGTCATTTTTCTCGCATGCTTCGTTTGGTACTTTTCTGTCATTCTTGAAAACGTATTCGTGATGATGACCGAGTGCCATCGACGATCCAAGTGCGGCGGCAAAATGGCGCGATTGTCGTCACCCCGGCGAGCGCGTTTACGGACGACTCCGGGCGATTTTCGCGCACCACGTGACGCGCAAAAGCGTACACTCACCTTTCACCAGGTACGGCTTGAGATAATTGAACATATTTTGAAAGCACGCGTCGAGTTTTGGGTCTGTCCTGTTGCACGGCTGTATGTACTCGGCTGCAAAAAGGAACAAGAAAATGTCGATTGTAGGAGCGAGCTGATGTTACGCAACACATACAGGCGTATTATGTAATTAATAACAGTCGCCGTAATAATGATACAACAGCGACACATACACACACATATATACGCACGCACAACGTAAAATAAGTCCGATGAACGCAGTTATTTTGCAAGAAACCGAGCATCGGCGCGGTTTCACGGATAACCCGTGCACCTCCCGGTGGCCCTCCGTTAATCTTTCCTAATTTTTAGAAACGCGCGCCGTTCGTGCGCATTCGTCCCGGTTTCGCGGAGATATATCCGCGATTTATCCGCGTGCACTCGCAACACTCTCCGCCGGATACGTGACTTGACATTTGAGCGTAAACGCGATTCTACGGCCACAAGCTTTTCTGCCAGCTGTATTTAGCGGCAACCTTTCGATGTTCCTTCGAGCGTCGAGCGAGTGCGGATCGGGCACACTCTGCGTAACTATGCGGTCGGACGGCTTACAGTTACCTAATTGATTGAATTATACGCGTTTCCCCGCGGCAAGCCGGGAAATACCTGCTACACCGGTGTTTGGCAATTTGCCGAAGGTCCAGCAAAAGATCTACTCTGTCCGTACTTCTCGATATGCGCAATCACAATACGCGCAGAAGTCGCTTGTTGACAAGATCGTGCAATCGTTAGCGCGAGGATAATTGCTGAATCGCTTGCCGCGGCTTTCCGATCATTATTGCGTTCCGCCGCGAGAGTTTCGCGATTTATCGTATTAATGAGCGAATCATCGCGGTGGAAACCGAAGCCACTTAATGTGGGATCGTGTACGTCCGCTCGAATCACTCCGTCACGTCTTCCTACTTCCTGTGTCTTTTATGCAACCACTCTCACTTTCAGTAGCCTCGCGCGAGGCCGTTGTTAACAATCGATCGATGTTACTGCGGGTCGGAAAAGGGATCGCGTTATAGCCGTATCACACTAGCGACTCGCGCGACTGCGGCTGTGGCTGCGATTGCGATTGCGACTCTTCCTCGACCAATCAGAAAGCAGCGACTCGCGGCTGCGACTCGCGACTATCGTTTGGACGGCTGTCCATTTTTTGAGTCGCAGTCGCAACCAATCACAGTACTCCGTATAATCACGTGACCCGCTCGTCATAATCATATTTATTTAATAGTATGTAGAAGTCGGTGATCATTAGAATAATGTTATATCTAGTGTTGTTTTATGTGTTACATATTTTTTTTTTAATGTCAAAACAATTTAATAAGGAGATAGACTATTATTTAGTAGATCTCGTAGAATGTAAACCCCTTCTCTGGGATTGTACATGTGACAGTATGTTAAGATTATTTAGCCGCAGCCGCGATCGCCAATCGCAAGTGTGATTGGAAAACAAGAAATCGCAATCGCAATCGCAGTCGCAGTCGCAGCCGCGAGTCGCTAGTGTGATACGGTCTTTACGTGAGGAAAGATCTTTGGAGCCGTCTTCCCGAAGGAACTTGCTGTTCGTCCGCTCGGAGGGATCCTGCTCCGAGCAACAGATCGAATCGCTCCGTCCTGCGTTTAGAGTTTCCAATCCCGGATACAATTTAGCTTCCCGGGATTTCGGGATTTTCTGGATTCCATCCCGGGATCCCGGGACTAGTCCCGGGATTATATATATGTAAAGAAAGAAACAAGGAATATTCACAAGTAATAGAATTATTTTATTTATAGAACGTTCATAGACTTTTATGAACATTATGACAAATAAGAAGTAAAATTTCAGTAAAAATGAAAGCAACTTACATTAATGATTGCACAAAAACCGTTACAATTAAAAATTAAAGTTTTTGTAATAAAAATAAAAATAATTATTTCTTCTTTTTCACATTGAAAAAGCGATTTTAAAAATAATAAAACATAAATTTTGTTAAAAAATATCTGCTCGAGGATCCCGGATTCAAGTCTGTGTTGCGCCAGTTTATCCGCGAAATTTAAAATAGAAAACTCCCTTAATATTTAAAACAAATAAAAATAATACATGGAATTAAATTTAAAATATAAATACACTTCTCTAGCAAATGCTCTAAAACATCAGTAATAAGTAATAATTATTAAAGTAAAATTTTTGTAAACCGTAAGTATTATATAGACACTAAACATTAAATTTTGAAATCCCGAAATCCCGGGATTTGTGATGTTGAATCCCGAGTATTTTCGGGAACAAAAATTTGGCCGGGATCCCGGGATTGGAAACTCTACTTGCGCTTCTTTCTCGACCACGTGGCCTTTGTCCTCGTTCGCAGGTACGGGCGAATCATTTGCCCTCTCGCTCTCTCGGTACCTCTCTTTCGGGCGTGCTTATGCAATATAAATATTACGTATCTTTTCTCGCTCTCTCCCTCCCTCCCTCCCTTTCTCTCTCTCTCTCTCTCTCTCTCTCTCTCTCTCTCTCTCTCTCTCCCTCTCCCTCTCCCTCTCTCTCTCTCTCTCTCTCTCTCTCTCTCTCCGTCTCACTCGCGTCTCGAAGTGACGCATAAATTTCGAGTCGAGACTCTCAACTTTCGCGGCCTGACCGTCTTCTCAGACGAAGCTGACCGTCGTCAAGGACGTGGCGATCAGATCGGCATAGTAGCGTCACGTGCCCGTAATATGTCAGGTTTCAGTTCCAGTTGACAAATTTACGCGCACGATGCTCCACTCGCGTGGAAAATCGCTGGACGCGTGAATAATCGCGAGGACTCACTCCTATTGTGTGTTGAGCTCGACGATATGAAAATTCGCAAAAGCTGTTTAAGTCATCCTGTCCGCATTGCGATACGTATATTCCAATAACGATACACGCCATCGCCGAGAGCGAGCGGGAAAGTAAACATCCTTGATAAACGGCTGCGGATCGTTCGCATATTCTTCCGCGATCCAAACGCGACCACGGCCCGCCGATTTCGACATTTCGAGTCGATTATTCTTGACCTTTGTCAAGAATGCCCGATAAAGGCTCGACAAAGGTCGAACGGTCGAGAAGGAGAGAGAGAGGGGGGGTGTGGGGGAGAGAGAGAGAGAGAGAGAGAGAGAGAGAGGGAGAGAGAGAGAGAGAGAGAGAGAGAGAGAGAGAGAGGAGAGAGAGAGAGAGAGCGAGAGAGAGAGAGAGAGAGAGAGAGAGAGAGAGAGAGAGAGAGAGAGAGAGAGAGAGAAGAGAGAGAGAGAGAGAGAGAGAGAGGAGAGAGAGAGAGAGAGAGAGAGAGAGAGAGAGAGAGAGAGAGAGAGAGAGAGAGAGAGAGAGAGAGAGAGAGAGAGAGGAGAGAGAGAGAGAGAGAGAGAGAGAGAGAGAGAGAGAGAGAGAGAGAGAGAGAGAGAGAGAGAGAGAGAGAGAGAGAGAGAGAGAGAGAGAGAGAGAGAGAGAGAGAGAGAGAGAGAGAGAGAGAGAGAAGAGAGAGAGAGAGAGAGAGAGAGAGAGAGAGAGAGAGAGAGGAGAGAGAGAGAGAGAGAGAGAGAGAGAGAGAGAAGAGAGAGAGAGAGAGAGAGAGAGAGAGAGAGAGAAGAGAGAAGAGAGAGAGAGAGAGAGAGAGAGAAGAAGAGAGAGAGAGAGAGAGAGAGAGAGAGAGAGAGAGAGAGAGAGAGGAAGAGAGAGAGAGAGAGAGAGAGAGAGAGAGAGAGAGAGAGAGAGAGAGAGAGAGAGAGAGAGAGAGAGAGAGAGAGAGAGAGAGAGAGAGAGAGAGAGAGAGAGAGAGAGAGAGAGAGAGAGAGCGAGAAGTCGTCAGCTGTTTCGTGTCGGTGTTACGTTGGAAGAATCTGGACCACCTGATGCATCATCGGCGTGGCTATTACGTCGCCACTTTCACTCGAGGCACCCGCTTGATCGCGCGCGAAAACGAACGCTCTCGCACGATGGAAGACAAAGGGGCCGATCGCGAGCGCAGATTTCGCGGGTACGATGTTTTTCCGATTTCCGCCATCAGGCCGCGAGTCTTCGCTTTCCTCCGGAAAAGCGTGATTATATAGGCTGAGGATATGGTCCGACACGTTTCTCCCTTGCAAACCTCCGTGACTCGATCGATCTTGCTGAACAACTCGCTGACGGATCAATCTCGTAATTAAGGATACGTATCAGAGCACGGGGATAATTCGACAAAGAAAGAGAGAGAGAAAAAGAGGGAGAGAGAGAAAGAAAGAGAGAGAGAGAGAGAGAGAGAGAGAGAGAGGGAGAGAGAGAGAGAGAGAGAGACTCCTTCGCACGGGAAGACACGTCCCTCTTCCGTTCGTGAAAGATCGAGCGAGGAGGCGAATTTCGACTCGAGACTCGCGTTTTCTCGCGGTGCCTGACCGGTCATCTCGAAAGGATACGCTATGTACGTAGGGTATACCGAGTAGAGAATCGGCGCACGTTTGTGTATATCGTTGTAACACCGGCTTTAAAGCGGTACTTTCTCCGGACGATTGCTGGCGATCCTCGGCACCGGCAATTACGCAATCTCTGACATAACCTTCGCCACGCTGTCGAGGAACGTTACGCCATGTTTCGCGAGATATTATATCGGCGAGGACCAAATGTGCATGTCGCGAGCCGGCCGACATCGGCTCGCCTCGCGTGTTACTTTGCCGCGCTAATTATAAGCCAGCCGTCGCCTGGTCACCGCTGATCGTTGCTGAGAAAACATTGCCGGACAGGAAAAAAAGGTACATGCATTTTCAATGTTAAAGGTGACGCGCCAGATGTGCAGCATAATAACCAGGAAATGCTAATTTTCGCGATTAAATTTCGAAAATATAACATACATCAGCATCTGTGATTTCATCTGCAGACGTATGTAATATTTCTTTTTCCCTATCTTTTTTTGTCTGATGGCGTATTCGACGGGGTGTATGAATTTTAAGCCTAGGTTTTTGAGTCGAACATGCACGGGTGAGCTTTGTGATTGGTTAGTAGAGCCTTGTGACGTCATTAATCGACCCGGTTAAAACCCATGCCGCTTGAATGCGCCATGAATGACCGATTTAATCACCGAATTATGCAATGTTATAATATATGAATTATGCAATGTATACAACATTATGTAGATCGACGAGTGTCTTCTCACTTGGTCGTTCTTCTTAATCGCGGTCAATAATGGATTGAGTGTTTTCTTATGGCGGATATCGGATACACCCAAAAAAGTATTCTACTTGTAAAATGATTTTTCTCATAATTTTCTATTCTAAGCGAAGCCTTTTAGAGGAAAAGAATTTCTCTTTCGATAAAGCGATTAAAGTTACTCATCTAAAATTAGTATAAATTATTATACTAATATTTATTATATTAGTTTATTATATTATATTAGTATTATATTAGTATTAATAAAGTTACTCATCTAAAATTTATTAGATATTATTCTAACTGTTTCCCCTCTTATTTCAAGAGGATTCCCTCTTGTATCGATTAATTTTCCTCCTCTATCAAGAGGAATATGTTGGATTTGAATGTCCGCTTATTTATACTTATTTATGCTTTTATGCTCTATCTCCAAATATGAACGAAAAAATAACTATATACTCATGGGTCAGAATATTTAGAATGATTTTTAAGAAAGGCACGTGTGTTGCTGTAACATATAATGAAGATAATTTACTCATATTTGATCGAATACAGTTTATAATCTATTGTAAGAAGTTGGATAATATATTCTTCCTTTTAACTATGTTTCATACAATTGATTATGATGAACATCATTGTAGCTATGAAATCTATAACAAAACTGATTGGAAGTTTATTTGTTACGATGATCTTATTTCATTCGTGTCTACTAATGATAGAACTGGAGCCTGAAGTGCACCTATATATATATGTATATATATATTACTTTTCGCTATATATTATAATAATTTTTTCAAATTAATCAGTAAGAATAAAGTACAGTAAGAATAAATAATAATCCTCTTAAAAAGATATTAAATAATCTGTGTATAAGAGGAAATTTTTATTAAAATCAATAAAATTTATATATATATAACATATTATAGCATTATATATATAACATATAATTCCTCTAACTTTAAGAATAATGTGTTTATAACATTTTTCTCTTAATTTTAGAGGAATCCTCTTGAATCCTCCATATATAAGAGTAAAATCTTCTAAAATTTAAATGATTCCGCTTGTTCTGAAGTTACTTTTTTCTGCGTGTATGAAATAACGAAGCTGAGTAAATTGAGCAACGTTCCAGCACTCGAGCCAAATTCGCGATTTGTGGAAACGACATTTATGGATTGACCGGTGGCATTTTTCAGAAAAATATCGTGAGACAGAGAGAGAGAGAGAGAGAGAGAGAGAGAGAGGAGAAAGAATTCACGCGGCCGATAGAGCACCGATAGAGTCGCGCGACGGCAGAAAGTGCGAGTGCAATCGAGACAACGAGCTTCCGTCACGTAATTGCGAGCCTTACGTTCATTGTTTGTGTTTCTTCGAGCTATGACGAAAGAGAAAGGTAGATACGCTCTATATGTTCGGCGAATGAAAACGCGAATGAAAATGCAAGGTGAGATTACACTCGCGCGTGTAATCATTTCCTATTATCTTTCGCGCGCGCGTTAGCAGCGTGTCTACGTGCTCGGTGGGAAAAAGAACGGGGAAACGCAGAGGCAACTAATGAGAAATGGAAACAGGTTGCGCAAACTAGTGAATGAGTCTCGAAACACCGACAAATCGTAGTCGTTCGTGAGAATCGTCAAAACGAAGCGAGCTTCGTCCGGAGCGCGTGAAGGAGAAAATATCAATTTTCGCACGCGACCTTTTTTGGGTCTTGATAACTTTCGTTAAACGACTGTTACAGCAATCCGAGAAAAATAGCGACTCTACTCGGTCGTTGAGATACAAAATTGTCCAGAATATAACACAAAGTAATACGTTCCCTATATAATTTGGCTCCTGCTTGCGTTAATCTGCATGATAAAATGATGACAATTAAACCATTACCCGAACGTTTCCTTTGTCCTTCTTCGCAAAAAAGCAAAGTGGAAAATTGTTTTAATATTTAACGACCGGCGTTATTATATCGGACAATGCCGTTGGCTGGTGCGGTGTTGTTAAGAATCATCATCGTCCATCGGCTTTTCATGCATGCATGCAGCGAAACTAATGAATATTACCACCGTGATGTCTAATAAACGCTCGCGCCGCATAGTAATCATCAATGCGTTGACTCAACATTTCAGTCTCCAACGACCTCGCCTGCGACAAGAACACACGGTCGTCCCTGCACGGGAAAATCTCGGGAAATCTCGCGAAACTCACGAGTCTCAAAGTCCGGTTCGTTGATCTCGCTGGCGGGCTTCGTCGCGTTTTGATGCTCCTGGCAGGACACCAGAGCGATAGCCCAGCAGCAGAGTCCCAGCAGCAGGACAAGAGCTACCCTCGTATGCGCCATATCCTTGACAATATATATGCACCACTGTGTATTCCCTCGGGAAAGGCGACACGCTCACTTCCTTCTCGCCGCGATCGCGTCTGCAAAAGAAAGGAAAAATACGACAGATCCATCCTAGAGATCGGTGTGGAGATCGATTATCTCCCGCGAGAGGAGAAACACTTACGAAATGACGCTCGTAAGTGTGCGTGCGTCCGTGAATTAGTTCGGCGACTCTTCTCTTAGGAGGACCCGTTGCGCGCCGGAAACATAATCGCGAATGCGTACCGCGATATTCAACTTGACGTTCGCGTGCGTAGAGACAGAAGTGCGGGGAGGGCACACGGCCGGGCGACTACTTTGTGATAAACTAAAGACCAGACCCCTTCATATTCTGTCTTATATGCGGGGGTTCCCCTACTCTGACAAGGTGCCACTACTGCCAGTTTTAAAGAACCGCCGTGTTGTAGCCGCCTTCTCTTTCCTCCGCATCCACCGTTAACGCGTGTCCAGTCAGTCAGATAAATATTCTATGCGTACGAAATTTGCATACGACTGCGACTGGTATAATATATGGATATGGAATGAGCTCATAATAGGTAGGGCAATAAAGGAGAACAACAGTGAAAAAATTTTCTGATCAATCGGTCAATGGATTATTCCGGTCGTGAGCGCCGGTTCGTGTCGCCGACGCGAGTCGTGGTCGGAGTTTCGCGAGGCTTCGGCTCGCTTTGTTCCCCTTCAGGACACGAAGGATGTTCACTCTCCGATTGGGATCTTTTTGACGTTATTTGGCCCAACAAAGCTCAAGCGTCGAGTCTCAAAACTGATGTTCGTATGTATCGAGAGCATGACGCAGAATTAATTTTGCTTTCCTATTTTGCTAGTTTCCTTTCATTCGATATGGTAATTGAAATGCACTTATATATAATAAATGTTGTCGATATATATGCGCAACTCAATATGCAACTAATACGTCAGGAATACATTGAGACGATCGACACGATGTGTCGTTACGTACATTAAAAAAAATTACGTACATTACGTGTCATTACGTACATTAAAAAATATTGGAACATATCCGCGTCGTCAAACATTTATATATAATATTACATATAATTTATATTACGATATATACTGAGATGATAAAAGTGGAGATATGCAAATTGCATGATTACGTGACACTGCGTGACACTGCGTCATTAGGTTTTTTCTAAAGTAAATACTATTAAATACTACTAAATTATCTTTATGTGTCATTGCAAGATATTGCAATAACACAAAGATATACGCAGAATTTTCAATATGCCTTATAAGGAAACATAGGGAACTCGGAAATTAAAAAAATTATGAAATTTTGTGCGGAAGTAAAGTAGTTTATTCGTAATGCAAAATTATTTTTTATTTGTGCGGAACTCCAGTCTGAGGGGTGAAACTATCCTTCGAAAAAAAAAATCATTTTCATTTTTAGCGTACATCTTTTAAAATATGAAGCATATGCAAAAATGATTTATATGAAAGTTGTAGTTTCTCATACAAAATTGAATCATTTTTGAAACCCCCTTCATTCTCCTCCAATTTTGCAAAATCTGAACACACAGTTGCAAAGAGTATAAAATATACTACAACTTTTATATACGTACATAATACTTTTGCTAGCCTAATTTAAAACATATACTACAAATTGACGTATGACTTACCTAGTCGTCAATAAACTCGAGAGATGGTTTCACGTCCTGAGACTTCGGAATTGCGCACGAACAAGAAATAGTTTTGCATTACAGATGAACTACTAGGTGCGCAACTAAGTTTCCGAGTTTCACACATGGATGGTGCTAACGACACATGTAGTCGACATACATGTCTGAAGTTGTGTTTTTTTATAGCTTGGACATCTGTTAACAATAACCAGTCCGTAATACCAACACATATCGCAACGCAAAAATATTTTTTCTAACAACGAAGATGTCGAGTTTTGTGCCAAATAAACAGCATTTGCGGGAAGCTTTGCTTTTCTGCTTTAACTTGAAAAAAAGTGCAGCTGAAGCACGTCGTTTGCTTGAGGAAGCTTACAGCGAACACGCACCATCGAAAACTACCTGTGAAGATTAGTTTAAACGCTTCAGAAGTGGCGATTTCGACACTGAGGACAAGAAGCGCTCCGGAAGACCACTAAAAACAATTAAGGACGCCGATTTGCAAGCGTTATTGGATGAAGATGATACGCAAACACAAGATCAACTTGCGGAGATAATAAACATGACTCGCCAAGGTATTTTCAAATATTTACATGCCATGGGAAAAATTCAAAAGGAAGGAAAATGGGTGTCACATGAGTTGACCGAGAGACAGATGGAAAATCGAAGAGCCACTTCCGAAATTTTGCTTTTGCGGCATGAAAGAAAGAGTTTCCTGCATCGAATTGTTACTGGCGATGAGAAGTGGATATATTTCGATTATCCCAAACGTAGAAAATCGTGGCTTTCACCTGGCGAAGCATCAACATCGACGGCACGGCCAAATCGCTTCGGAAAGAAGACAATGCTCTGCGTTTGGTGGGATCAGAAAGGAATCGTGTACTATGAGGTGCTGAATGAGCGGGCGAAACTGTCAATGGGCATCGCTACCGATAACAACTAATCAATTTGAACCATGCATTGCTCGAAAAACGGCCAGAATAGGACACGAGACACGAACGAGTAATATTGCAGCACGACAACGCTCCGTGCCATTCGCACTTCCATCGTCCAGGACCTAACTAACAAAACGCTGAAATGGGATCTGCTACCGCATCCGCCGTATTCGCCAGACCTGGCCAAAATTGGTTGCATGAATGGTTTCGGTCCAAAGACGCGTCGTTTTATCGTCGCGGTATTCATGTATTGCCAGAGAGATGGCAAAAATGTATAGTTAGCGAGGAACGATATTTTGAATAAACCATTTTTTGTATTTCTCTTAGAATTTTCCATTTTTCATTGATCAAAAAACCCGGAAACTTAGTTGCACATCTAGTACTTTACTTTCACACAAAGTTTCATATTTTTTTGAATTTCCGGGTTCCCAACCTTTTCTTGTTAATAACAATGATAATGGCGAGTGGATTATTACATGACAGTTGCAAAATCATATTTTGCGATGTTTAGCTGTGGACTTTATCAAACAATTTGATAAAGTTCACAGAAGATTGCGTCTAATGATTGCTTTGCGAAACACTCTGTCATATTTTAATGCAAAAAGAAGGAAAAAGGAAAGGATTGCTTGTCATTCTTTTGATTTATGGAGCATTAATCGGAGCAGTCATATTCATAGCCAGTAATCTTCCATTCGAGATGAAGTTTGATGTAACATGAGAAATGTTTTGTATACATTATACTGTAATCAGGAATTTTTTATGTTATGCTGTAATTTTATGTACATTATACACAGCTACAGCTCATTATTTATGAAGGATATTGTAACATTACCAGCTAAGGCATTTTCCGCGGATGATTCAATAAACAAAAAACATATGTATATATTCCCTGATTAAGAAATCCGTCGGTGTCTTGTCTATAAATATCGAAGGATAACCGAAAGAGCCGATTAGGCTGCGAATTTTATTCCGCGGTGATCGAAAGTAAGCTCGTTCCGACCATAAAAATCAAACGTTCCATTGTCTCTTCGTATTCGTCCTCTCGGGGAAGTCTTTATCACTCATTATGTTTCGTCTATCACGCGCGATATATGAATGAGATTATTCGTAAATGCGTGCCGCGGTTGTACGTGACAAATAATGTCAAGGTGTGTGGCAGGTCGACTCTCAGACCGTCGTACATAATTCCTCACTTTTATTTGTTTTTTATCCTGAGTGATCTCGTTTCCGTGAAACTATTCAGGATTTACATCGCACATTTAATCGGAATCTCACACGATGAGATGATAATTGAGCGAGAAGCTATTTATTAGAGGCTAATTTGTAGACAATCTTCTGCAAGGCTGCGACTGGTTTCATAAGAGCGGCGTATGAGATGTGATAAAACCGCGATGTTGAGTAGCAAAGATGGAAAAGCTGTTTGAACTGGCCGCGTTGGCGAAGGCGAGCTTTCGCGAACGTTAAAGTCTGCCGAGAGTTTCTGACTTACAACGTCTCTCCTTTTCGGCGATCAGCCAGAGAGAACCTCGTCGAGTGACTTCCTCGTGGCAACCAAGGCTTTTCCGCAGCCTTGGCGATGCTCTCGGCATAATCGCGACGACGTTCGGCGGTTCTTAAGAATGTAAACAAATTGCATGGCTTCAATGCAACATTGCTGGTACTTATTGATTAACCTATTAATTGAATGAATAACACCACGGAACGTTTGCATATATTCGCGAACTTTAGCTAATCGGCGATAAAACTCGTTCATACACCCAAAAAAAGTATTCTATTTGCAAAATGATTTTTTTCATAGTCTCATATTTATACGCGAAGCTTTTTATAGGAAAAGGATTCCTCTTTCGACAAAGCGATTAAAGTGAACCATTCATCTAAAATTTGTTAGATATTATTCTAACTATTTTCCTTTTATTTCAAGAGGATTTCTTCTTATATCAATTAATTTTCCTCTTATATGAAAAGGAATATGTTGATTTAAATGTCGGCTTATTTTCTTCAGTCATTCTCTGTCTCAGGACTTAGACATGAACGAAAAAATAACCATATCCTCATTGGTTAGAATATTTAGAACGCTTTTTAAAAAAGATGTGTGTGTTGTTTTAACATATAACGAAGATAATTTACCCATATTTGGTCAAATACAGTTTAGAATCTATTGCAAGAAGTTGAATAATATATATATCCCTTCTTTTAACTATGTTTCATATAATTGGTTATGATAAACATTTTTGTAGCTATAAAACTCATAACAAAACTGATTAGAAATTTATTTGTTATGATGATCTTATTTCATTCGTGCCTACTTATTGTCAAACTAGAGCTAGAGGTACATTTATATATATATATTGCTTTTCGCTATACATTATAATAATTTTTTCAAATTAACCAGTATAACTGGTAAGAATAAAGTTCGGTAAGAATAAATAATAATCCTTTAAAAAGATATTAAATAATCTTTGTATAAGAGGAAATTTAAATTAAAATCAATAAGATTTGCATTATATATATAACATATATATAACATATATTTTCTCTAACTTTAAGAATAATATGTTTAGAATATTTTCCTCTTAATTTTAGCGGAATCCTCTTGAGGCCATATATAAAAATAAAATCCTCTAAAATTTAGATAATTTTGCTTGTTCTGAAATTCCTTTTTTTGGGTGTATATTTTTTTTAAATTCCGTTTCTAAACCTCACACAGCCGCGGACGGAATTTTCCACTGAAAAGCATTCGCTTCCCGCAACGTGTTAACATTGCCGGCATCGAACGTTCGCTATTTTGAAGGATACCTGAAGACGTATCATCCATGTTTTCGAGTCGGTGTCTTCGATGCTCGGCACGACGCGAGAAGCCGTGGCGCGTGGGTAAGCGACTCGAATAAAGACAGGAACAAGTGCATTCAACGCGCGCGAGAACTGCATTGAAAGGCGAACTGCCTTTCCGCGGCGAAAAGCGAGCCTACGTTACTCGCGATGAATGAATTATCTCGAAATTCGCTGGTCACATGCCTAACGTTTTATTATGTCACTCTCAAAGTACAAATTTATAAGTTCGTACATTCGCGCATATCGTAACTTTTATTTTCTCTGTCGTCTCGATACAAAATGTCTATATTATGCATGCATCGGAAAAAAAGTTCTCTTTTTATCTACAGGAAACAAATACTTTTATGATCTTGCTGACCTGCGACCGCTGAGTACTATGTATACTCACATTTCGTATTCTTGTTTTATTTTTATCGTGAGATTTGCGCGCTTCATTCGCGATGCGGCTCGAGTCGTAGCAGATGCTTCAATCAGAGAACTAAACTTCCGGGAATCAATTACAAAGTTCTCTCGTTAAACTATCGGTGACGTTGCGAGCCGCATCGGGAGGGAAGTGTTGAAATCGAATCGAGTGGAAATCCGTCTATCCGTCTATCCGTCTCCCCGTCTATCCGTCTATCCGTCTCCCCGTCTATCCGTCTATCCGTCTCCCCATCTATCCGTCTATCCGTCTATCCGTCTATCGTATAACCAACCGTCTGCGCGCTATTTCACCGGTGAAGCTAAAAGAACGCGTCGAATGACTATGATCGAGCGAGCTAATCGGTCATCGGACAGAAGCCGAAAGTGACGGTACACGTGACGTGTCCGGCGTTGCAAGTGCGACGGAGGATTCGGTTGGAATGTGATTTCACTGAGAATCTTCCATACGTGCTTTCATTATATTTCTACTTGTCCCCAGGTGAAGATATAATAAAGAGCTGCCGTTTACACCGCGTACCGACATTCCGACTCTGTCACGAGCGATTACCGTCTTCGCCTGAAAAAGGATCAAACGCGAACCATCATGCAAACGAGCGCACACGAGTTCTCACTTTGTAACAATCACGCGCGCGCGCGCGCGATCGGCCGTGCACGTTGATATACGACAATTTACAATTTTCACAAAAAAAGACATCTAGCTCGTCGTCGCGGCTATAAAACGAGGGCAAGAAGATGCCTAGTCTGGACACAATACGCTCAGAGGGAAGTTGGCATAGATGTTGTTAGCGGTTTCCTTGATAACTTTGGCAGCATACCATTCGGCCGTCGGGTGTATTTGGTTCATTAGTATCTGCCATTGATATTTAAAAAATTGTTTCAAATAAATGGTCATCATCTCGTTATAGCTCGATGATTTACTCCACCAGATTTTAGTGATATTCAATCGCACTTGGACATTCGTCACTTCAAAATGTTCCTCGCCTGTTTCCGTTTTATCGTAATTTTCGCCATATATAACGACGTCGGCGGTGACGTTTCTAAAAGTTGCTGTCAGTGGGAATCGGCCTACTTTTATGGGCTTCCCCGTATAATTGGTCATTACTTGGTATTTTGTGCGCAATTTAATCTGTGGGAATTCCGCCTTTAACATCATGTTTTGCCTTGCGTAGCTGAAAAGGAGAATGTCCTTTAGAATGACTGTTCGGCTGCTGAGATTCAGCCGCGCTCGAATTCGCGATGCAGCTTCTCCTCGGGCGAAGAAGATTATCGTCCCATTTGTCGTACGACAAGTGTCATCGAATCTGTCGGTCGAATTTAACAATTCCCGCGAAAATTCTTTCCCGGCGACGCAGGAATTCGACGATACTTCTTGTACTACATTGCAAACCCGAGTGTGTTATTTTGACACGTATAGGCTGAAGCTTTCTTTACATGTTTCTTGTCGTCTTAAGCTACGTCATTTAATTCATTTAGACGTTATTTAGACATTATTTTTTATTTATTTTTTTTATTTAGAAAGTGATTTTTCCTATAGTCTCATATTCTAAGCCGTTTACGGGAAAAAGAGTTTCCTATAAAGCGATTAAAGTGAACTATTCATCTAAAATTTATTAAATTCTAACCGTTTTCAAGAGAATTTTCTCTTATATCAATTAATTTTCCTTTTATATGAAGAGGAATATGTTGATTTGAATGTCGGCTTCTTTTGTTTAGTCATGCTCCATCTCCAGACATGAACGAAAAAATAACCATATACTCATGGGTCAGAATATTTAGAATGCTTTTTAAAAAGGGTATATGTGTTGTTGTAATAACGAAGATAATTTACCCATATTTGGTCAAATACAGTTTATAATCTATTGCAAGAAGTTAGAAAATATATTTTCTTTCTTTCAACTATGTTTCATACCATCGATTATGATGAACATCTTTGCAGCTATGAAGTCCATGACAAAACTGATTGGAAATTTATTTGTTATGATGGTCTTATTTCATTCGTGCTTACTTATCGTAGAACTAGAGCCAGAAGTATATTTATATATATATATACATTACTTCTTGCTATACATTATCATAATTTTTTCAAATTAAGTAGTTTAACTAGTAAGAAAGAGAATAAAGTATAGTATAGTAAGAATAAATAATAATCCTCTTAAAAAAAATTAAATAATTTGTGTATAAGAGGAAATTTATATTAAAATTAATAAAATTTGCATTACAGACACACATACGTACATGTAACATATAATTCCTCTAACTTTTTAAGTATAATGCGTTTATAATATGTTCCTTTTAATCCTAAAGGAATCCTCTTGTGGCCACATATAAGAATAAAATCCTCTAAAATTTAAATGCTTGTTCTGAAATTACTTTTTTTGAATGAAAACAACACTCGAGTTTGCAGTGATACACGAAGGCTATTAGCTCCACATTATTACGTCTATTGTTATGTGTATTGTTACATGATCGACTCTAAAATCGATATCCGGGATGAGACGATCGCTTGTATCGCGCATCGCGAATGAATGTTTGTATATCGTATGTCGATATGCTCTATCGCGATTACTTACTTGAACTCCGTTATATTGAAGTCTGCTGCTCCGGAGATTGTTATATCCGAAAACGTCGTGGTGCTTGAGTATTTACCCGACATGGAAAAATCGTAAGTCGGTATATAATACGGGTTGAACGTCGGAATACCCAAAGAATAAAGACCATCCTTCAAGTGAGGCTTTAATGATTCTATGCTGCGCTTTATACATCCTAGTTCCATCTGTCTTTGGTTACAAATGTGCAGTTGTGGTACTAAGAACAAATTACATACTGCGTTCGCAATTACTTTCTCGCATATGTCAGTTTTGAAAAACACACGATTCGTCGGAAGGCAGCGGGTCAACTCGAAAAATACCTCAGATTAAGTGTATCTCTCTTAGAATAGACTTCTATTCGCGAGATTAAAACGGAGTTACAAATGTTAGCTGTTCGAGAAAATTTTCGGATTTGCGAGATGATCGCACGGTTACTTACACGTAATCCCTAGATCGCGGTCAGACTTCACCATGGTCACCATGCTCATCAAAAAGATCAATAAAATAACACGCATTGTGGCTTACCGAAAAATCCTCGGTCAAATTCAAATTTAACGTTGCGTCGGAATATTGAGTGACTTTAATGCGCGAATTTCACTGTTAACCGATAATGTTCCGACTATGCGATTTCGACGACAACTAGCCACCTCGCGTTGTTCTCGTTTCCACGTCTCTCGTTAATATATTTGTCCGACGAGTCAGGATTCGTATTTCGGACACGACGATCACGTGTACACACAATGCAAATCACAAGCGGCCTTGTGGCTTAACATTGTGCCAAGCATTTGTCGAGAGAATAATATGGAACTTGTAAATCTACATCGAAAGTTCTCACGAAATCCTATGATCTTAGCTAAGGTGGCTACTTGAAAGGAACATACATTGCGAAGCGAATATGTAAAACGCAGTCTTTAATTTTTAAAGCATTGATAATGGGACAATTATTCGTGTCCTGCGGAAGATGAAGTGCAATGGATCGATGAATTTTGCTAGATATTATTCGAAGAGATCAAGTGATAATACATTGAGAAAGAAAAACGTTTAAAAATATTAAATATTTCTACCGTTGCCGTCGAATTTTTTCATTGTTGAAAAGAGAAAGGAAGAGAGAAGGAAAACGAGTAAGAGGAGTTACGTAGAATTACATATTATATGAAATTTCACTTGATACGTGCATAACTCTTTATTGCGTTGGTTAAATTTACAAATAAATTTGTATAATCTAAGCGCCGTTATTCACGCGAAGAAAAAATATCAATATTGCAAACGCTCTTACATGGATTTTTTTCTCTGCGAGGAAAACAAATATCTCGCTTATTGCACGTATTCTTTTCTTTCTAGAAATTCTCAAGTATACGCGTACTTTCCGGATAATTATATACTCGAATTTATTTTACAGTCAGGACAAAATTGTTCTGGATGTTGTTTAAGATACAGCTGATGCTTCAATGAAAGAATTTATTTTTGGACCGCTAAAAAATAATTTGTCTTATTGAACCATTGACTGGTGTTGAAAAATGCTCCGAAAAAAAATTGTCCAGGTTGTTCCAGCTCCAAGTTTACAATCGTATTTCGTATATCCAAGTTTACAAAGTGTAAGGGTCTTTAACGTAGGATCTTTAGGTCTAGGAAGAATCTATATATATATTATTACCGATAAGATTGATAAGGCGAAATGGTTCCAATTACAAGCGACAACTCGCGAGCTTGATCAGTTATGACGAAAGCCGAAGTGATGGTACACGAGATATCTAACATTGCAAGTATAACGAAGAAAACGCGTGAAACATAGGTATTTTTATCATACTTTTATCCATTGAATGAAAGTACAATAAAGAGATACTGTGTGCATAGTGTACTATCATGCGAGTTCTGTCACAACCGCAAACCCGCGAGCACTCGTTCGCATTTGATGCGCACTGAACCCCATTGGAAGAAAAAGCCATTTTCTAAAGCAGCGTATACGAATCTCCGTATCAAAATAATAAATAAGTAATGCACAACTAATTGTGCTAGCAAGTTACACTCATTATAAAATGATTAATCTCTTCATCATGACAATAAAATCAAGACGATGCGTTTTAACGAGACGTTAACATAACAGTTGGGAAATTCGTGTAAATCCTATTCCAAATGGTCTGGATAAGCTCAGCTGCAATGTTTTTGATGTTATAAATTATTTCGTAAGTCAATGGATCCCACTCAAGTGCAAGATAATCATTTGCCAACTGCGTTACGTTTTCGGGTGTACCTCTTTGTTGTTTATTAGTCTTCATCCCTTCAAACTTTAAGATTGCCACGGTGACGTTGTTCACGTAAAAATATTGTTCTTCGTCCTCAAAATGCCTGCCTCGTATAATAATTTCAGCAACGACGTTCGTAAAATTGCTATTTAATCTGTATCTGCTACTTTTAATAAGCGTAGGAGACGTATATGAAACGTATGCATTGAACTTAGTGGACACACCGACGAATGGAAAGCGCGCTAGAAACTCAATATAATGATCCTCGACAACTCTGGAAACAAGAATTTTAGGGTAATTTTGTGCTCAGCTGGTTACAAATCGCGTTTGGATTCACTACGTGGTCGTCTCGTTAGGCCAAGTTGTTACAATTTCTTTTGTTATACGGCGAGTATTGTACGGATATGTCAATTGATTGCTTAGCGCATTTTTAACACTCCCATCGGACACTGTAGGAATTCTCTATCTGACAATATTCGTCGTACAAGTGAAATATTGGCTTAACAGTACCGAATAATTCGCTGATGTGTTTATGTAATGTTTAGATAATGATTACTTACCTGACTCTACTTATCGTGAAGTTTGATATACTGTTGATATATGTATCTCTAAACTTTATCATAGGGATATACTGATTTTCGAAGGTCATCTTATAAAATTGCGTATAATATGGCTCGAAAGAAGGTATACTTAATTGCGGAACACCCTGCGCTAAGTAAGGCCTCATCGAATCCAAACTTCGCGGTAAGCATGCTTGAAGTCGCGATTTCGGACATGTATGTAGATTTGGTACTAACAACAAAATAAAGTGTCCTTGCAATCTTTTTTTTGCACGTACATCAAAGCGGCATAAGCCGATTTCACGTTCGATCCGGAAAACGTGCGGTTCCGCGAGAAGAAAAATCGACGCGGTTCGTCGAATATGTAAGATCGCGCTTATCTGTCATAAGATGGCTGCAGGAAAGTGAGCATCATACGTGCCGATACTTGTTGGAGAATATTACTTTATCCGACAATCGCAATGTTACTTACATCTGTCCCTTAAATAGTTGGCAGACATCTCCGTGATGAAGCCGCTCGTTATAACGAAAAGAGCAAAGATGGTATGCATTGTTGCCTGCGGAGAGGTTCTTGTTTCGAATTTAACGAATGCCGAGCGATTTCGACGTGTAGATTTATCACCAGTGGTAATAATAAATAACCGTACGATTTCGACAATAATTCAGCTACTCGCGTTGTTCTCGATTTTACGACTTTCGTTAACATATCGGTTCGACGCGTCGAGAGTGTATTTTAAACTCAGCGATCACGCATCAACAGGATGTAAATCACAAGTTATCTCCTTGTTCAACGTTGAGGCGAAGACGCATTGACAGAACAACGATAAATATGTAAACACATGACGAATATTTTCGCTGAATCCTTGCAAAAGGTTTCCCTTTACGATTGTTATCCTCCGAGGCGATTATTTGGAACGAAATAATTTGTCGATTAAAATTATAACATCAGCTTTTACCTTATCGCATCGCATTTTGAGACTTAAATTGATGATGTCAGTTTTCGACTAGTTAACAATTGGAACGATCGATTCGCGTCTACATCGGGAAATTCTGTTTGGTAGATTTTACTAAGCGAGAAAATATTTGAATATGAAAAATATATCTCCCCCGAATTTTAATAACTTCAACTCACACTGTTATCTGTTCGGGAGCGCATAAAATATTTTCCGTGAATGTTTATACACATATATAGCTTTCACGTTAAATTAGTCAAGGATTAATGTGCTATGCTTCAAATTTTTCCTTTAACATACATAACTCTTTGTTACATGTTCTCAAAATACAAAATCACTTTGTATCATACTTGTGCTACTATATTTGCGTGATAAAACTGTCAGCAATATGGAAGTGTTAGAATGATGTTTTATTTTACAAAATCGTTTATTATCATCGGTTACGTTCTAAGCTGCATTGAAGAAACCAAGTCTATTCTGATTTGCATAATGGTTTGTAAATGCTATCTACGACAAAGTTAGAAGTGCATCGAATGATCAAGGTTGCTCGATGATTGATTATGACGAAGAACGATGAAGGAGCCGAAATGATAATGCAGGAAATATCATCTGACGTTACAACTCTAACGAGAGATTCGCGATGAATCTAAGTATTTTTATTAAACTTTTATCTATCAAGATAAAAGTACAATAAATTATTTATACCATGCACAGTCATTCGAATTTTGTCATAAGCAGTTGTCATGCTCGCACTTTTGATTATTTTATGCGCACCTAACATTGTCAGAAAAGACGTCAGAAAAGACGTTTCGATACATGTGAATGGTTACTCGATATGAAATAATAATTGCGTACAATTGGTTCTGAAGATAAATATTTATCATATAGTGATGGGTGCTTCGTCACTGCGATAAAATTGAGACAATTGCACGTCTAAATAAGCGGCAGCAATACGTTAATTGGATATTTCAAGAAAATTTTATTCTCTCTCTCTCTCTCTCTCTCTCTCTCTCTCTCTCTTTCTCTCTCACTCTCTCTGTTGCTCGGAGAATATTAGATGCGAATAATTGAATTACATGCATGTTTCGGGAAGTTATAGCTCCCCAGTTGTTTTGCTGATAATAATTTATGTTGATGATTAATTGGGAATACCATTTACTTATTATTTCCGAGGTGGTCTTAACATCCCCTACGCTTTTGAATACCATGTTGACGTTGACGTAATAAACGTTGAAATATTTATAGGTCCTTTTCCAGTCCTCGTAATATCCACCTTGTATAGCGATGCTAGCGTTGATATTCGTCAAGTCGTTCTTTGGAAACTGGGAGATGAGAAACGCGGTCGTACTATGTATGTCGTAGTTAGCTGACACATTGTTGGATGGAAAGTATGCGTTAAATTTAATCTCCTACACAATGCGTTTATAGTTGTTGAAAGAAACACTGAAAACAATTTAATGCTAGTTTTGTGCTCACGTGATCCGTGATTGAATTCATCATGTGGATCGGTTTTGCAGAATAAGACTATCGATCGATTTTACGTTGATCCACATGGAAACAATCATCCTTCATCTGAATCATGCGTAAATTATTCAGAGATGTATCTCGACCGGTGTGCGTCAATTTATATATTAATAATGGCTTACCGAACATTATGTATCGTGAAGTCTGAAATGCCATAGGTAGTTATGTCCGAAATGATGATAGAGAACGTAATTTCCTACGTCATTGTTTCGGTAAGCACGCGTTTCTTATGAGAAGAAAAATCAACTCGATAAATGAGATCACGTGTATCTGTCATAGGATAACATTCTATTTGCAAAAGAGCACCAGAGGTACGAGTGTTCACTCTTGCTTGAGAAAATTATTTCGCACAACGATCGCAGGCTTACATATCGTTGTAGGTGACTCGAATGGTCCTGGCGTGTCAAAGATGCTCG